TTTCCGATGTTTCAGTGTTACGATTTTCATTTTTTTTTTATTTTTCAGTTTTCAATTTTTGACGTTTCTAAATTTTTCGATTAACTGATTTTTTGAATTTCCCATTTCTCTATTTCTCGATTTTTCAATTCTTTCTTCAATTGTGATTTTTTAATTTTTCCATTTCTGAATTTTTCAATGTTTCAGTTTTGGATTTTTTTACTTTTCCGAATCCTCAATTTTCTTTCCGTTTTTCAGTTTTTCAAGATTTCAGTTTTGAATTTTTTCACTTTTTCGATTTTTCAATTAAACCAAAAAATTCCAAATTCAAAAAATTTAGAAACGTCAAAATTTGAAAAATTGAAAAATCCCAACAGTGAAATATCGAAAAACTGAGTAAACGAAAAATTGAAAATCAAACAAGAATCGATAAATCGAAAAATTAAAAAATGGAAAAATGCAGAAATCGAAACAAACTCGGAAATTTAAAAATCTAGATTTTAAAAACCGAAAATTTGAATAATCGAAAAACTAAAAAAATTCCAAAACTGAAATCGAAAAGTCGAAAATCTAAAAATTGACAAATCAAAAAGGCGAAATCTAAAAATCGAAAAGTTAAAAACTGAGACTGAATTAAAAACAAAATCGTTAAGTCGAAAAATTAGTAAATTACGAAATCGCGAAAAATCCAAAAATTGAAAAAATCGAAACATTTTAAGTCGGAAAATTTTAAAACCGTAAATTAAGAATTCCCAAAATCAAAAATTTTAAAAATTGAAAAATTAAAATCACGAAAAATTTTAAAAATCGAGAAAACGGGCATCAAAAATCGAAGAATTGAAAAATCTAAAATTTAAAAATCGAAAAATGAAATAATCGAGAAATCAAAAAAACAAAACATTTTTGACATTGAAAAATTACAATATCAAAAAATTCAAAAATCTAGAAATCGAAACAACAAAAGATCGAAAAATTAAAAACCAAAAATTTAAAAATCTAAAATTTGAAAAATCGAGGAAGCAAATAATCGAGAAATCGAATCCAAGAATCGAAGTATTGGAAAATCCCAAAATTAAAAAATCTACAGAACGAAAAGTAGAAAAATAGAAGTAAAAAATTGAAAATTTAGGAAATCAAAAAACTGAAAACTCAAAAACCTGAAAATTCCCAAAATAAAAAAAATTAAAAATTGAGATATTAAAGTACTGAAAATTTGAAAAATCGAGAAATCCAGGGTCGAAAAATTGAAAATTCTCAAATTGAAAAATTTTAAAAACTGAAAAATTAAAGTATCGAAAAATTGAAAATTCGAAATATTGAAAAATCCCAAAACTGAAATATCAAAAAATTGAAAAATGGGAGAGAAATTGAAGAAACGAAAAATTAACTAATCCCAAACTCAAAAATCAAGAGATGGGAAAGTTGAAAAGTCGTAAAATTGTAACCTCGAAAAATTGAGACATTGACTAATGAAAAAATCGAGAACTCGAAAATTTGAAGAATCAAGACATTGAAGTATCGAAATGTCGAAAAATCCCAAAGCTGAGATATCGAAATCTTAAAAAATCAAAGGATAATTGAAGAAACGAATATTCAAAAATTCCAGAACTAAAAAATTGAGAAATCGAAAAGTCGAAAAATCGAGGTCAAAAAATTAAAATTTTAAATAAAAATCGAAAAATGAAAAATCAAAGACCTGAAACATCGAAAAATTGAAGGATTGAAAAACTGAAAAGTCGAACTTTCGAGAAATGGGAAAGGCGAAAAATCCGTTAGTCGAGAAATTGAAAAAATCGAGAATTCGAAAATTTGAAAAATCTAAAAATTCAAAAATCCCAACACTGAAAAATCGAAAAATTGAGTAATCGAAAAATTGAAAACCGACAAATCGAAAAATTCACAAATCAAAAAAGGCTAAAATCGAAAAACAGCAAAGTCTAAACTCAAAAATTAAAATTTTGAAAAATCGTAAAGTTTTTCGATTGAAAATGGAAAAGTCTAAAGATTTTAAAACCGAGAAATTGACAGTTCCCAAATTGAAAAATTTGAAAAATCGAAAAACCAAATATTAAAAAAATCAAAAAATTGAAGAATCGAAAAACTATAGAATTGAAAAACTAAAGAGTCGCAATATTGAAAAGTCGAGAAATCGAGAAGTGGGAAAAACAAAAAATCGATTATTCGAAAAATTGAGAAATCGAAAAACTGAAAAATCGAAAAATCGAACCATCAGAACCTCGAAAACTATCTAAAATTTAAAAACCGAAAATTAAAAAAAAAAGTCGAAATTGAAAAATGGAAAATTTCGAGAATTGAAAAACTGAGAACTCTTCAAATTGATAAATGAAGAAATCGAAATCTAAAAATCGGAAAAAGGAAAAAAGAAAACTGAGAAATCTAAACACTGAGAAGTCGATAAGTTGAAAAACTAAAGTTTAGGAACGTCAAAAATTGAAGAATTGAAACAAAAAAGTGAAAAATCCCCACATGAAACATCGAAAAATGGAGCAGGTAATCGAAAAATTGATAAATTGAGAAATCGAAAATAAAAAAATTGAAAAATTTAAAATAAAAAAATCGATAAATAGAAAAATCGAAAATTGGTAAATTGAGAAATATAGAAATTGAACAATAAAAAACCAGAGCATCGAAATCTCGAGGAATCGAAAATTGGAAAATCGAAAAACGTTAAAACAGAAAAATTGAAAATTCCCAAATTGAAAAATTTTAAAAACTGAAAAATTAAAGTATCGAAAAATTGAAAATTCGAAATGTTGAAAAATCCCAAAACTGAAATATCAAAAAATTGAAAAATGGCAGAGAAATTGAAGGAACGAAAAATTAACTAATCCCAAACTCAAAAATCGAGAGATGGGAAAGTTGAAAAATCGAAAATTCAAAAAATCGAAAAATTGAACAACTGAAAAACTGAAAAGTCAAAATATTGAAAAGTCGAGAAACCGAGAAATATGAAAAACAAAAAATCGATTAACTGGGAAATTAAGAAAACGAAGAAAATTCTGAAACTTCAAAAATTGACAAATTGAAAAACTGAAAATTCGATGTTACTGTAACAACAATTTTTTAGACCAATTTTTTTGATTTTCCCATTTCTCCATTTCTCAATTTTTCAGTTTTGGATTTTTTCACTGTTTCGATTCTTTAATTTTCCTTATATTTTTAGGTTTTTCAATATTTCAGCTTTGGAATTTTCCAATATTTCGTTTCTTCAATTTTTCAAATTTTTGATATTGTGTTTTCTCGGTTTTTAAATTTTTCGATATTTTAGTTTTTCAGTTTTTAAAGTTTTAGTTTTTAGATTTCTTACTATCTCGACCTTTCGATTTTTCAGTTCTATGATTTTTCAATTTGTCGAATTTTTAAATTTTAGATTTTTTGTTTTCTTTCATGTTTTGAGTTCTCGATCATTCGATTTTCTGAGTTTTCAGGCTTAGATTTTTTTTGTTGTTCAATTCTTGGATTTTGAAAATTTTTGTTTTTGAAATTTTCCTATTTATCAACTTACTGGGATTTCAAAGTTTTGATTTTTTGATTGTTCAATTTCTCGATTTTTTGAACTTTTCAATTTATTAACTTTACGGTACTTCAGTTTTGCCCGATTTCGATTTCTCAATTTTTCGACATATTACTGTTGGGATTTTTCAATTTATCGATTCTTCGATTTCTCGATTCTTCATATTTTCGGTTTCTCGAATTTCTTCATTTTTCGATTTCTCAATTTTCCGATGTTTCAGTGTTACGATTTTTAATTTTTTTATTTTTCAGTTTTCAAATTTTTGAAGTTTCTAAATTTTTCGATTAACTGATTTTTGATTTTCCCATTTCTCTATTTCTCGATTTTTCAATTCTTTCTTCAATTGTGATTTTTCAATTTTTCCATTTCTGAATTTTTCAATGTTTCAGTTTTGGATTTTTTTACTTTTCCGAATCTTCAATTTTCTTTCCATTTTTCAGTTTTTCAAGATTTCAGTTTTGAATTTTTTTACTTTTTCGATTTTTCAATTTTCCTTCCATTTTTCAGTTTTTCAGTATTTCAGTTCTGGGATTTTGCAATGTTTCGGTTCTTCAATTTTTCCATTTTTTGATGTTTCGATTTCTCGGCTTTTAAATTTTTCGATAGGTATTTTAATTTTCCAATTTTTAAGTTCTACATTTTCCCTTAATTTTTTTGTTTTCCTTGATGTTTTGATTTCTCGATTGTTCGATTTTTCAATTTTTCGGTTTACCGATTTTTTTCATTCAAAATGTTTCAATTTTTCAATTATTAACTTTTCGATTTTTCAATTTTGGTCTAATTTGATTTCTTAATTTTTTGATTTTTGACTCCTCTACTGTTGATGTTTTGATTTCACAATGTTTCAGTTTTTGAACATTCCGATGTTTCGATTTTTCGACTTTTTGGCTTTTCAAATGTTCAATTTTTTGATTTTTGAATTTTAGATTTTTCTTTTTTTTAATTTTTTGGTGTTTCGATTTCCCAATTCTTCAATTTTTCGATATTTTAATTTTTCAATTTTTCGAATTTTTAAATTTTGGATTTCTCTTTTCTTTTATTTCTCAATCTTACTAAGCATTCCTTATTTAACCGAACTGTTATTAATTTAACTAAGCAGCTATTATTTCACCAAGCATATATTATTTTTACTGAGAATTTATTTTTTAACTGAGCATTTATTATATAACCTAGCATTTATCATTTCTACCGAGCAAAAATACAGTATTAACACACAGTACATCAAAATCGATATTATGAGGTTATGCAACCAACTATTCACGTCGCGTCTCAGCCATTACTTAGCCCCGCGGAAAAAATCGCCAGACGCTCCAGTTTTATTAATTTCGCAAGTGTGGGAGCAACTCCCACCAACACATGTCTCTAATTACCGCAGACACCGATCTCATCTGTAATTCCGCGCTCGCTGCCACCTCATTTAGCTACATTGTTTGCAACTCGGGATTAAGGAACACGTCTACCAACTTAATTGACTAGGAAAAATTACCCTGCCTGAATTGATGAGGATAGGTTTGGGGTATTGGCAGTCGATGTCTTCTTGAGTGGGCTGGAAGAGGAAGTCTCGGAGGGTGTTCCACTGGGAGCTGCCGTGACGCGCGCCTTGGGAGAAGCCGAACTCGCCGACGCCGTCGGTGGTGCCGGCGGCGAAGCTGTAGCCCATGGCGGGGAGGCACCCATGGACCTGGAAGAAGAGGGGTAGTGGTGGAAGGTTAGGTTTGGGGGGTGTACTTGCTGGGTTGTTCCGTTGGGGTGCTGGATGGTGGCGTTTTGGGATGGCATGTCCACGAAGCGGTGGATGTAGTTGATGGGTGGCGAGATGGGGTGGCCGTCGGGGGAGTCTAGAAGGCGCTGCGAAAGGGTTAGAAAAGTACGCTAGTATAATAGTTATTGATTCACAAAGTTAGGTTAGGTTATGTCAGGTCTGTCTGTCTGTCCGTCTGTCTGTCCGTGTCGATTTTATTAGACAGATCATCTCTGAAACTATCTGAACTTTTTTTTTTATTCTCAGTTTTTCGTTTTTTCAAATGTGCGAGTTTTTGATTTTCGAATTTTAGATTTTTTTATTTTTCGATTTTTCCATTTTCGATATTTCGATTTTTCGTTTTTCGATTCCCAAGTTTCCAAACTTTTGATACTGCATTTTTGGATTATCACATTCCTCGATTTATCTTGATTTTTCGATATTTCGAATTCTCAGTTTTTTGGTTTCTCGATTTCCCAATTCTCAAATTTTTGATTCTGCATTTTTCGATTTTTCGATTTCTCGACTTTCAATTTTTCCATTTTTTCTCAAATTCTCAGTTTCTCCACTTTTTGATTCTCCATCTTTTGATTTTTAGATTTCTCGATTTTCAGTTTCCCGATTTCTGGAATTTTCAGGTTCCTGAATTTTCATTTTGAATTTTCCAGTTGACGCATTCTCAGTGTTTCGTTTTATCAATTATTGCTCGTTCGATTTTTCAATTTTCGAAATTTTGATTTTTCGAGTTCTCAATTTTCGATTTATCGCTTTTTGGGGGTTTAGATTTTTAGATTTACTAATTATTTCGCTTTTTCGAGTTCTAAATTTTCGTTTTTTCAATTTTTCGATTTTTCGATTTCTCAAATTCTCGATTTTTCGATTTTTCGATTTTTCGAATTTTCAATTTCTCGTTTTCTCGATGTCTCCATTTTTCAATTTCTCAATTTGTGATTCTGCATTTCTCGATTTCGCGATTTTTTAAATCTTCATTTTGATTTTCCGAATTCTTAGTTCTCAAATTTTCTATTGTTGTTTTCTCGATTTTTCAGTTTTCAGTATTTCAATATTTGGAGTTCTCCAGTTATAGTTTTCCCCATTTCTCGATTTCTCGATTTCTTTAATTCCCAATTTGTCAATTTATCAAATTTTGATTATGCATTTTTCGATTTTTGAATTTCTGGATTTTTTGAATTTGTGAACACAATTTTACAATTTTTCTGTTTCTCAATTTTTAAATTCTCGACTTCTTAATTTTTCGAATTCTCAATTTCTTGTTTTCTCGAGTTTTCGATTGCTCAATTTCTCAATTTTCTCATTTTTTTGTGTTTTCCGATTTCTCGATTTTGCGATTCTTCGAATTCCCAATTTTTTGATATTTCGATTTTTGGAATTCCCAACTTCTCGTTTTCTCGAATTCTCGATTTCTCAGTTTCTCCATTTTTTGATTCTGTATTTTTTGATTTTTTGATTTCTCGATTTTCAATTTCTCGATTTTCAGTTTCCCTATTTTCGATTTCTCGATTTCTGGATTTGACGAATTTTCATTTTGATTTTTCGAATTTTTCGATCCTCGATTTTTGGATTTTTCAAATTCTCAATTTCTCTATTTTTCGAGTTCTCGATTTCTCAATTTCTCCATTTTTTGATTCTACATTTTTTGATTTTTCGAATACCCAATTTTTTATTTTGGGATTTTTCGAATTTCCAATTTCTCGTTTTCTCGTGTTCTCGATTTCTCATTTTCGCGATTTCTCAATTTCTCTATTTGTGATTCTGGATTTCTCGATTTCGCGATATTTTGAATTTTCATTTTGATTTTGCGAGTTCTTAGTTCTCAAATTTTCCATGGTTGTTTTCTCAATTTTTCAGTTTTCAGTGTTTCAATATTTCGAGTTCTCCAGTTCTAGTTTTCTCGATTTCTTTAATTCCCAGTTTCACAATTTATCAAATTTTGATTCTGCATTTTTCGATTTTTGAATTTCTGGATTTCTTGAATTTTTGAATACCCAATTTTCAGATTTTTCCATTTTTCGAATTCTCAAATTCTCCGTTTTTCAAGTTTTAGAATACTCGAATTGCCAATTTCTCAATTTCTCCATTTTTTGATTCTGCATTTTTCAATTTCTCGATTTTCAATTTGCCGATTTCTCGATTTTTCGAATTCCTAATTTTTTAATTTTTCAATTGTTCGAATTCTCAGTGTCTCGTTTTCTCAAGTTCTCGATTTCTCAAATTTCATTTTGATTTTTCGAATTCTTAGTTCTCGTATTTTCCATTGTTGTTTACCGAATTCCAATTTTCTAGGTTTCCCGATTTCACGATTTCCCAGTTTCTCCCAAATTTTTGATTCTGGACTTTTCCATTATTGGATTTCTCGATTTCGAGATTTTTCGAATTCTCAATTTCTCAATTTCTCAATTTTTTAATTCTGTTTTTTAATTTTTCGATATTTCGATTTTCGAATTCACGATTCCTCGATGTTTCAATTTTTCGATTTCTCGATTTTCAAATTCCCAATATCTCGATTTTTCAAATTTCCAGTTTTTTATTTTTCTCGAGTTCTCAATTTCTCATTTTTAATTCTACATTTTTCAATATTTCGAATTCCCAATTTTTGTATTTTTCTAATTCTCAATTTCTCGTTTTCTCCAGTTCCTGATTTCTCAATTTCTCCATTTTTTGAGTCTGCATATCTTTGTTTCTCAATTTCTGGAATTTTCATATTGATTTTTCAAATTTTAAGTTCCCCAGTTTTTGTTTTTTTGATTGTACAATTTTTCGGTTTTCGATCATCAATTTTTGGATGTTTTAATGTTCTATTTTTCGATTTTTTTACTTTTTTGAATTCTTTTTAATTCTACATTATTTGATATTTCAAATTCCCGATTTCTCGATTTTTTTAATTCCCAGTTTTTTTTTATTTTTTTAGAGTTCTCAATTTCTCAATTTTTACATTTTTTAATTCTACATTTTTCAATTTTTCGCTTTTTCGAATTCCCAATTTCTTAGTTTTTCTAATTGTGAATTTCTCGTTTTCTCGAGTTCCTGATTTCTCAATCTCTCTATTTTTTGAGTTTGCATTTCTCGGTTTCTCAATTCCGGAATTTTCATATTGATTATTCAGATTTTAAGTTCCCTAATTTTCGTTTTTTCGATTGTACGATTTTTCGGTCTTCCATTATAGATTTTCAATTTTTTATTTTTCGATTTTTCTGACTTTTGGATTTTCCGAATTCTCAATTTCTCGATTTTTCGAGTTCTCAATTTCTCAGTTTTTCGAATGGTCAATTTCTCAATTTCTCCATCTTTTAATTCTACATTTTTTTGAAATGTCAAATTCCCGATTTTTCGAATTTTTGAATTCCCAGTTTTTTGATTTTTTCGGAGTTCTCAATTTCTCAATTTTTCTAATTCTGAATTTCTCGTTTTCTCGAGTTCCTGATTTCTTAAGAGTCTTCATTTCCCACTTTCTCAATTTTTTGAATTTTCATATTGAATTTTGGATTTTTTGATTCTTTGTTTTTTCGTTTTTCGATTATCTCAATTTTTCCATTTTTTAGTTTCTTAGATGGTTCAATTATTTTTGAGTTATCGAATTCTAGTGCTCTCGGAATCTCAATTTCTCGATTTCACGATTTTGGAATTTCTCAATTTTTTAAATTTTTGATTCTGCATTTTTAGAATTTTGGATTTTTTGATTTTTCAATTTTTCGATTTCTCAACTTTATTAATTTTTTGAGTTCTCGATTTCTCAATTTCTCGATTTTTTGAGTTTTCGACTTTTCGAAGTTTCATTTTGATTTTTCGATTGTAGGAATTTTCGATTTGTCGGTTTTTAAATTCGTGACTTCTCGATTTTTCGAATTCTCGGTTTTTTGTTTTTAGATTTTTCGAAATCTCAATTTCTTGTTTTAGTTCTCGATTTCTCAATTTCTTATTTTTTTCATTTTTTTATTCTGCATTTTTCGATTTCTTGACTATCAATTTCTCGATTTCGCGATTTTTGGATTTCTTAATTTTTCCTTTTTTGGAGTTCCCGATTTCTCAATTTCTCCATTTTTTGATTCAGCATTTCTCGGTTTTTCGATCTTTGGAATTATCATTTTGATTTTTCAAATTTTAAATTCCCGAATTTTCGTTGTTGCGATTTGTCGATTTTTCTCGAAATCTCAATTTCTCAACTTCACGATTTTTCAATTCCTCAATTTCTCATATTTTTGATGATTATGTATTTTTCGATTTTTCGAATTCTCGAAGTTCCATTTTGAATTTTCGATTGTACGATTTTTCGATTTCTCGATTTTTAAATTCTTGCTTTCTCGATTCTTCGAATTCCAAATTTTTGATTTTTCGAATTCTCAACTTCTCGTTTCTCGAATTCTCGGTTTCACAGGTTCTCCATTTTTTGATTCTGCATTTTTTGATTTTTCTGTTTTCCGATTTTCAATTTCCCAATTTGCAGTTTCCCTATTTTTAATTTCTCGATTTCTCGATTCGTCGAATTTTCATTTTGATTTTTCGAATTTTTAGTTATCAAATTTTGTTTTTTTGTTTATTATATGCTATTTCGATTTACGTTCCTCGATTTTTGGATTTTTAGATTTTTCAAATTTTCAATTTCTCTATTTATCGAGTTCTCGATTTCTCAATTTCTCCATTTTTTGGTTTTACATTTCTTGATTTTTGGAATTTTCGAATTTCCAATTTCTCGTTTTCTCGTGTTCTCGATTTCTCAATTTCTCAATTTTTCCATTTTTCGATTTCTTAATCTCGGTTTCTCGATTCTTCCAGTTCCCAATATTTTATTTTTAGATTTTTAAATTCTCAGTTCCTCGTTTTTTTAAGCTCTCTTCATTTCTTAATTCTGCATTTTTTTATTTTTAGATCACTCGATTTGTCGATATCTTGATTTTCGAATTCTTAATTCTCAAATTTTCTCCATTTTTTTGTACGAACGTTCGATTTTTGATCCTCGATTTTTAAATTTTTTGAGTTCTGGACTTTCGAAATTCTCCATTTTTTTTATTCTACATTTGTTGGTTTTTCCATTTCTCAAGTCTCAATTTCTTCATGTTTTAAATCTTCATTTTTTTAATTTTTGGATTTCTCGATTTTGAAGTTCTCAGTTTTTCGTTGTTTCGATTGTACGTTTTTTTCGATTTTCAATTTGTCGATTTCTCGCTTTCAATTCATCAATTTTTCGAATTCTCGAAGTCTCATTATAAATTTTCGATTTACACTTTTTCGATTTCTCCATTTCTCAATTTTTTAATTATTACGATTTTTCTGTTTCTCGATTTTTTAATTCTCGACTTCTCGATTTTTCGAATTCTCAATTCTTGTTTTCTCGAGTTCTCGATTGCCCAATTTCCCAATTTTTTCATTTTTTTATTCTGTGTTTTTCGATTTCTCGATTTTGCGATTTTTCGAATTGGTAATTTTTTGATTTTTCAAATTCTCAATTATTCGTTTTTTCGATTTCCCGATTTCTCAATTTCTCCAATTTTTCATTCAGCATTTCTCGGTTTCCCGACCTTTGGAATTATATTTTGATTTTTCGAATTTTAAGTTCCCTAATTTTCGTTTTTTCAATTTTCGATTTTTGGATTTTTAATTCTCAATTTTTGGATTTTCGATTTTTCGATTTGTCGATTTTTCGATTTTTCAGTTTTCCGATCGTTCAAATGTTTTTGAGTTATCAGAGTTCTAGTTTTCCCCAAATCTCAATTGCTCACCTTCACTTCAATTTCTCAATTTCTCAAATTTTTGATTATGCATTTTTCGATTTTTCGATTTCTCGAATTCTGAATACTATAGTTTTTCCAGTTCTTGAATTCTTAATTTCTTCATTTTTTGATTTTACTTTTTTTGAATTTCCGATTGTACGATTTTTTGATTTCTCGATTTTCAAATTCTCGATTTCTCGATTCTTCGAATTCCCAATTTTTTGATATTTCGATTTTTCGAATTCTCAACTTTTTGTTTTCTCGAATTCTCGATTTCTCAGTTTCTCCATTTTTTGATTTTTGGATTTCTCGATTTTCAGTTTCCCTATTTTTAATTTCTCGATTTCTGGATTCGACGAGTTGTCATTTTGATTTTTTAAATTTTTTGATCCTCGATTTTTTGATTTTTCAAATTCTCCATTTCTCCATTTTTTGATTCTACATTTTTTTATTTTTCCAATTCTCAATTTTTTTTATTTTTCTCGAATTCTCAATTTCTCATTTCATTCTTCAATTCCTCGATGTTTCGATTCCCAAAATATTAATTTTTCTAATTCTCATTTTTTCCATTTTTTGAGTCTGCATGTCTTGTTTTCTCAATTTCTGTAATTTTCATATTGATTTTTCAAATTTTACGTTCCCTAATTTTCGATTTTTCGATTTTTTTGACTTTTGGATTTCCCGAATTCTCAATTTCTCAATTTTTCGAGTTCTCAATTTCTCAATTTTTCCAGTTTTTCAGTCTGCATTTTTCAATTCCTCTATTTTTCGATTTCCCAATTTTTTGACTTTTCTAATTCTCAATTTCTCGTTTTCTCGAGTTCCTGATTTCTCAATTTCTCCATTTTTGAGTCTGCGTTTTTCGCTTTCTCAATTTTGAAAATTTTATATTGTTTTTCGAATTTTAAGCTCCCTAATTTTTTTCGATTGTACGATTTTTAGATTTCCGATCCTCGATTTTTGGATTTTTCAAATTTTCGATTTTTGGATTTTTCGATTTTTCGTTTTTGCGATTTTTCGATTTCCCGATTTCGCAATTTCTCCATTTTTTGATTCAGCATTTCTTGGTTTCTCGACCTTTGGAATTATATTTTGATTTTTCGAATTTTAAGTTCCCTAATTTTCCTTTATTCAATGGTACGATTTTTGGATTTTTGATTCTCAACTTTTGGATTTTCGATTCTTCGATTTTTCAGTTTTTCAAATGTTTTTGAGTTATCAGAGTTCTAGTTTTCCCCAGATCTCAATTTCTCAACTTCGCGATTTTTCAATTTCTCAATTTTTCAAATTTTTGATTATGTATTTTTCGATTTTTCGATTTTCCGAATTCTGAATTCTTTTTAATTTTTCGAGTTCTAGAATTCTTAATTTCTCCATTTTTTGATTTTACGATTTTTGAATTTTCGATTGTACGATTTTTCGATTTCTCGATTTTCAAATTTTCGATTTCTCGATTCTTCGAATTCCCAATTTTTTGATATTTCGATTTTTCGAATTCTCAACTTCTCGGTTTCTCGAATTTTCGATTTCTCAGTTTCTCCATTTTTTGATTCTGCATTTTTTGATTTTTCGATTTCTCGATTTTCAGTTTCCATATTTTTAATTTCTGGATTTCTGGATTTGACGAATTTTCAATTTGATTTTTAGAATTTTTCAATCCTCGGTTTTTGGATTTTTCAAATTCTTAATTTCTTTATTTTTGGAGTTCTCGATTTTGCAATTTTTCGAATTGGTAATTTTTTGATTTTTCAAATTTTCCATTTTTCGTTTTTTCAATTTCCCGATTTCTCAATTTCTCCATCTTTTCATTCAGCATTTGTAGGTTCTCGACCTTTGGAATAATATTATGATTTTTCGAATTTTAAGTTCCCTAATTTTCGTTGTTGCAATTGTACGATTTTTGAATTTTTGATTCTCAATTTTTGGATTTTCGATTTTTCGATTTCTCGAATTCTGAATACTTTAATGTTTCGAGTTCTCGAAATCTTAATTTTTTTTTATTTTACTTTTTTTGAATTCTCAATTGTACGATTTTTCGATATCTCGATCCTTCGAATTCTCAATTTTTTGATATTTAGATTTTTTTGCTTTTTCGATTTCTCGATTTTCACTTTCCCTATTTTTAATTTTTCGAGTTCTGGATTTGACGAATTTTCATTTTGATTTTTCGAATTTTTCGATATTTGATTTTTGGAATTTTCAAATTCTCAATTACCATATTTTTCGAGTTCTCGATTTCTCAATTTCTCCATTTTTTGATTCTACATTTTTTGATTTTTCGAATTCCCAATTTTTTTATTTTTGGATTTTTCGAATTTCCAATTTCTCGTTTTCTCGTTTTCTCAATTTCTCAATTTTTCCATTTTTCGATCTCTTAATCTCGGTTTCTCGATTCTTCGAATTCCCAATATTTTATTTTCCGATTTTTTAAATTCGCAGCTTCTCGGTTTCTCAAGTTCTCTTCTGCGTTTCTCCATTTCTTAATTCTGCATTTTTTGATTTTTCGATCACTCGATTTTTCGATATCTCGATTTTCGAATTCTTAGTTCTCAAATTTTCTCTTTTTTTTGTACGAATTTTCGATTTTTAGATTTTTTGAGTTTTGGACTTCTGAATTTCTCCATTTTTTTGATTCTACATTTTTTGATTTTTCCATTTCTCAAGTTGAATTTTTGATTTCTCGATTTTGAAATTCTCTATTTTTCGTTGTTACGATTGTACGTTTTTTTCGATTTTCGGTTCTTCGATTTCTCGTTTTCCCAATTTGTCAATTTCTTCATTTTTTGATTCCGTTTCGATTTTTTTTTTACTTTCGGAGAATAAGCTAAGCGAAAAAAATGGCCTCTCGTTACCGTTTATCTGTCTGTCTGTCTGTCTACCTGACTGACTGTCTGTCTGTCTGTCTGACTGACTGTCTGTCTGTCCGTCTATGCCAATTTTTATTAGAACGTCCGAAACTACTGAACCGATTGTTGTAAAATTTTATACGATAAAATATCAATACAAAGTTTTCCATAAATTTTGTGAAAAAATAGCCTGAAAATTATTATCTGCCTGTCAATTTTATCTTTTTTCAACGCAACCGGTTATGGGTCCATTACGGACAGCCTCCATATAAAACTGCATCAATTTCGCGCACAATAGAGAGGCAAGATTGTGTGTACAAACGATCATGACTCCGTCCCCAATCTACTCACCCTCGCTTCCTCAAACAGCTTCTCGGCAATAATCCTTGTGCTGTCGAACATATCCACCCCCGGACCCGCCGCCACACAGTACTTCGCCTCCCCCCGACACGTGCTCGACATCAAGCTACAAATCTCGTCGGTGTCGATGCAGCGCGGCCCTCTGACGTTCGGGGAGACGTCCCCCAGGTTGGTGGAGGCGAAGGCCCCCACGAACCGCCCCTGAAAACAATCAAGCCGTGAAAATAATAAGCGTAATTCCTGAGTTGTCGCGAAGAAATGAAAAATGGGGCAGAAGTTGCGTGATTTATTGCTTCTCCAATCGTAAATCGCGAACATTTTTCTTACTTGTCCGATTGGGGCGTCCTTGTTGTGACTTTTTTCTAATAAGACGGAAGCGTAGCCGACATTGTCCGAAGTTATTAGGCAGTTGCTGAAGTTCATGGAGGTGGGGTGGACGGAGAACCAGTTGATTGCGCCGAGCAGGGTGTCGTCGGATTTGAGGAGTTTGAGTTGGATGAGGTCCTTGTCGACGTTGTGGGGGTATCTGGAGGAAAAGTTGGTGAAAGCACTCAAGGATATTGTCAAATACGGTCCTGGAGGGCGAGTTACATATGCAAATAATTGCTCGAAGGTTATTTCGACAGAAATTCCCTTTTGAAGAATTACAATTTTTTTGCAATCTTTTAACTTAAATTTTTCTTTTTTTTTTTGTTACTTCAGATATTCGATTCGTAATTTATCGTGTTTTCAGGAATAAATTTTTCAATTTCGAGTTTTCAATTTTGAATTTTTCCGTTTTTCGTTTCTTCAGTTTTTCGATTTACAATTTTACAGTTTTTCTTTTTCTTGTTACTTCAAATTTTAGATTTTGAATTTATTAATTTTTCGATTCTTTAATTTTTCATTGTTTAATTTTTAGTTTTTGCAATGTCACGAGTTTTCAATTAATTTTTTTTTTAAGTGAAATTTAAAAATTTTTGGATTTGTCAATTTTTTTATTTCTAGTTTGTCGATTAATTCCAATTTTCATTTGAAATATGTGATAATTATAATTTTTAAAATCCTTCACTTCTTCACTTTTACAGTTTTAGAAATTTTACATTTTTTGTTTATTAGATTTTCAAACTTTCTCATTTATTCAATTTTTAATTTTTTCGATATTTAATTTTTCTTAACAATGTTGACGGTTCCATAAATTTTCGATTTTATCCTTTTAGGTTTTCAATTTTTCTTTCTTTTTTCTAATTTTGATTTTAGATTTTTTAATTTTTCGGTTTCTCGATGTTCCTATTTTTCGATTTTTCGAATTCCCAAATTTTTGATTTTTCGAATTCTCAGTTTCTCGATTTTTCGAGTTCTTTTCGAAGTTTTAGTTCTCACATTTTCGTTCTTTCGATTGGACTATTTTTCGATTTTCTATCCTCGATTTTTGGATTTTTCGATTTTTCAAATTTCGATATTTTGATTTTTCACTTTTTCAATGGTTCAATATTTCGTTTCTCTAATTTTTTATTTATAATTCTCCAGTTTTCATTTGAACTGTATAATAATTATAATTTTAAAAATTTTTCATTTTTTCAGTTTTACTGTTTCAGAATTTTCTCATTTTTCGATGATTGGATTTTCCGATTTCTCTATTTTTAGATTTTTTGCATTTTCATTCTGATTTTTCGAACTTTTAGTTTTCCAATTTTCGGTTGTACGATCTTTCGATTTTGGATTTTGGATATTTCGATTTTTCTATATTTCAGTTCTTTGATGGTTCAATTTTTAATTTTTTGAGTTTTTGAATTCTAATTTTATCGATTTCTACATTACTCGATTTCATGATTTTCCGATTTTTTGAGTTTTTCGAATTATCAGTTACTTGATTTTTGGACGAATTTTTAGTTCTTTCGATTGTCGATTCGTTTTTAAATTTTTTTGATTTTTAGTTTTTAAATTTTTTTGATTTTTAGTTTTTAAATTTTTTTGATTTTTAGTTTTTAAATTTTTTTGATTTTTAGTTTTTCAATTTTTTTTATTTTTAATTACAGTATACAGTGGATCGACTTTATTTTGACAGTTTCATAATTTTTCGATTTTACAATTTTTGGATTTTCCAAATTTTTTATTCGATTCCTTTTCTCCTCTTTCTAATTTTGATTCTGCATTTTGTAATATTTCGATTTTTCGATTTTTTGATTTTTAGAATTTTTCGTTCTCAAATTTTCGTTTTTTCGATTTTCGAACCCTGATTTTTTTTATTTTTCTATGGTTCAATTTTTTGAGTTCTTGAATTCCAGTTTTCTTGACTTCTACATTTCTCAAATTCATGATTTCCCGATTTTTCGAATTCCCAATTTTATAATTTTTCGTTTTCTCGATTTCCCTATTTTTCGATTTTTTGAATTTTCATTTTGATTTTTCGAATTTTTGATTCTCACATTTTCGATTTTTCGATTGTACGATTTTTCGATTTTCGATCCCCGATTTTTAAATTTTTAGTTTTCTCGATTTCTACATTTCTCGATTCCACGATGCTTCAAGTTCCCAATTTTTTAATTTTTCGATTTTAATTTCTCGACTTTTCTATTTTTCGATTTTTTCAATATACATTTTGATGTTTCCAATTTTTAGTTCTCAAATTTTCGTTTTCTCGATTGTACGACCTTTCGATTTTCGATCCACGATTTTTGCATTTTTGGATTTTTCGATTTTCATTATTTCGAATTCTCCGTGTTCCAGTTCCCAATTTTTTAATTTTTCGAATTTTTGAATTCTTAATTTTTCAATTTTTGAATTTGTTTTCGAATTTTTAGATCTCAAATTTTCGTTCTTTCGATTTTCTATCCTCGATTTTTAGATTTTTGATATTTCGATTTTTCAGTTTTTGATTTTGCTTTTTATTCGATTTTTCAGCTTTTTGATTTTTAATTTTTCAATTCTTTTGATTTTTAATTTTTCAATTTTTGGATTTTCCATACGTTTGATTAGATTTCTTTTTTCCTCTTTCTAATTTTGATTCTGCATTTTTTAATATATCGATTTCTAAATTTTTTTAATTTACATGTTGATTTTTAAAATTTTTAGTTCTCAGATTTTCATTTTCCCTATTTTCGATCCTCGATTTTTGGATTTTTGATATTTCGATTTTTCAATTCTCAAATTCCAGTTTTCTCAATTTCCATATTTCTCAGTTTCATGATTTCCCGATTTTTCGAATTCCCAATTTTTTAATTTTTCGATTTCTCGATTTTCAATTTCTCGATTGCAGAATTTTCCAATTTTTAGTTCTCAAAGTTTCGTTTTTTCCATTGTACGATTTTTCAATTTTCGATATTTCAATTTTATCTATGTTTCAGTTCTCAATTTTTTTATTTTTGAATTCTCAGTTTCTCGATTTTTCGACTTCTGTTCAAATTTTTTGAGTCACCGAATTCTAGTTTTCTCGATTTCTGCACTTCCCGCTTTCTCAGTTTCAACATTTTCCGATTTTTCGAATTCCCAATTTTTTCATTTTTTGATTTTTCATTTTTTTTTAATTTTTAGTTCTCAAATTTTCTTTATTTCGTTTCGATCCTCAATTTTTGGATTTTTCGACTTTTCGTTATTTCAATTTTTCGATTTTTCGGTTTCTCGATAGTTCAATTTTTCGTTTTTTAAATTTTTTATTTGCAATTTTCCAGTTTTATGTGTATAAAATATATAATAATTATAATTTTTAAAATTCTTCACTTTTTTCAGTTTTCTGGTTTTAGAATTTTTACGTTTTTCAACTACTGGATTTTAAAACTTTAATTTTTCGATTTCTTTATTTTTGGATTTATGAATTTTTATTTTCATTTTTCGAAATTGTAGTTCTCAAATTTTCGATTTTTTCGATTCTACAATTTTTCGACTTTCGATCCTTGATTTTTAAATTTTTCGATATTTCAATTTTTCAATTTTTCAGTTTTTTGATGGTTCAATTTTTTAAGTCTTCGAATTCTAGTTTTCTCGATTTCTACATTTCGCGATTTCACGATTTCCCGATTTTTCGTTTTTCGATGGTTCAATCTTTCGTTTCTTTAATTTTTTATTTGCAATTTTTTCTTTTTTCACTTGAAAATTCTTCATTTCTTCAGTTTTAGAAGTGTTTTAAAACTTTTTCATTTATTCAAGTTTTCATATTTTCGGTTTTTAATTTTTCATTTTTAAATTTTCAATTCTTCGATCTTTTAAAAATTTTTTCGACTTTTGGTTTTTCTTTTTTTTGAACTTTTGGTTTCATTAACCTTTTTGATTTTTACGTTTCTATATTTTTTGTGTCAGTGTTCCAATCTTTCGTTTCGTTTTCACAGATTTTCGATTTTTCATTTTGAAAAAAATTGGAAAAATTGCAAAATTGCTAATTTGAAAAATAAAAATGAAAAAACGGAAAACGAAAACTTTGAAAAATCTGAAAAATGGAGATAAAGAATTTGAAGAATTGAAGAAACCTTGTAAATCGAAATATTGAAAAAAAAAAAACAAAATCGGATAATTCAGAGATCCAAAAATTGCAAAACTGAAAAATTTTAAAATTGAAAAAATCCAGGAATTGAAAAATCCAAGATTGAAAATTTGAAAAATTGAATGCGCGAAAAATTATAAAATCGAAAAAATGGAAAATGGAAATTAAAAAATGGGGAAAATAAAAATTTTTTTTTTGAAAAATTCTCAATTTCACGATTTCCCGATTTTTCGAATCCCAATTTTTTAATTTTCCGATTTCTCGATTTTCAATTCCTAGATTTCCCTATTTTTCGATTTTTTGAATTTCCATTTTGATCTTTTGAATTTTTATTTCCCAAATTTTCGTTTCCTCGATTGTACGATTTTATGATTTTCGATCTACGATTTTTGGATTTTTCGATTTTCGATATATCGATTTTTCAATTTTTAATTGTTTCGATGGTTCAATTTTTTGAGTTCTTGAATTCCAGTTTTCCGATTTCTACATTTCTCGAATTCATGATTTCCCAATTTTCTGAATTCCCAATTTTTTAATTTTCCAATTTCTTGATTTTCATTTTCTAGATTTCCGTATTGTTCGATTTTTTGAATTTCGATTATGATTTTTCGAATTTTTATTTCCCAAATTTTCGTTTCTTCGATTGTACGATTTTTCGATTTTCGATATACCGATTTTTTAATTTTTAAGTGTTTCGACGGTTCAATTTTTCTCTATTTTCAGATTTTTGATTTTCGATTCCCGATTTTTGGATTTTTCAAGTTTTCGATTTTCGATTTTTCCATTTTTCAGTTTTTCGATGGTTCAATTTTTTTTTACATTTCTCGATTTCTCTATTTTTCGATTTTATGAATTTTCGTTCTGATTTATCGAATTTTTAGTTTTCAAATTTCCATTTTTTCGATCAGAGGATTTTTCGGTTTCCGAACCCCGATTTGTTGATTTTTCGATATAGCGAATTTTCTATTTTTCAGTTCAACTTCTAGTTTTCTCGATTTGTACATTTCTCGAAATCGCGATTTCCCGATTTTCGAATTCCCAACTTTATAATTTTTATTTTCTCGATTTCTCGATTTCTCTATTTTTCGATTTTTTGATTTTTCGAGTTTTTAGTTCTCAAATTTTCGTTTTTTCGAATGTACGATTTTTCAATTTAGGATATCCGATTTTCGGGTTTTTCGATTTTTTGATTTTTGGTATTTCGATTTTTTCATTTTTAATTTTTCCATGGTTCAAGTTTTTGAGTTCTCAAATTCTAGTTTTCTCGATTTCTACATTTTTCGATTTCACGATGTTTCAAATTCCCAATTTTTTTTATCTTTCGATTCTTCGATTTTCAATTTCTCGATTTCCCGATTCCTCTATTTTTCGATTTTTTGAATTTTCATTTTGATTTTTCATATTTTTAGTTCTCAAATTTTCGTTTTTTCGAATGTACGATTTTTCGATTTATGATATCCGATTTTTGGATTTTTCGATTTTTTGATTTTCGGTATTTCGATTTTTTCGTTTTTAATTTTTCCATGGTTCAAGTTTTTGATTTCTCGAATTCCAATTTTCTCGATTTCTACATTTACTTCACGATGTTTCCAATTTCCAATTTTTATATTTTTCGATTCTTCGATTTTCAATTTCTCGATTTCCCGAGTTCTCTATTTTTCGATTTTTTGATTTTCCATTTGATTTTTCGAATTTTTAGTTCTCAAATTTTCGTTTTTTCGATTATAAGATTTTTCAATTTTCGATCCTCGATTTTTTGATTTTCAATTTTTCGATTTCCGATGTTTCGATTTTTCAATTTTTTAGTTTTTCGATGGTTCAACTTTTTGAATCACCGAATTCTAGTTTTTTCGATTTCTGCACTTCCCGATTTCTCAATATCGAGATTTTCCGATTTTTCGAATTCCCAATTTTTTTATTTTTCGATTTTTCATTTCATTTGAATTTTTAGTTCTCAAATTTTCGTTCTTTCGTTTCGATCCTCAATTTTTGGATTTTTCGAATTTTCGTTATTTCAATTTTCCGATTTTTCAGTTTCTCGATAATTCAATTTTTCGTTTCTTTAATTTTTTATTTGCAATTTTTCTAATTTTCATTTGAAATATGCAATAATAATAATTTTTAAAATTCTTTACTTTTTTTCAGTTTTATGGTTTTAGAATTTTTACGTTTTTCAATTACTGGATTTTAAAACTTTTTAATTTTTCGATTCCTGGATTTCTTTATTTTTGAATTTTTTGAATTTTTAATTTCATTTTTCGAAATTTTAGTTCCCAAATTTTCGTTTTTCCGATTGTACGATTTTTCGCTTTTCGATGGTTCAATTTTTCGTCTCTTTAATTTTTTATTTGCAATTTTTCCTGTTTTCACCCAAAAATTCTACATTTTTTCAGTTTTCGATTTTTAATTTTTCATTTTTAAATTTTCAATTTTTCGATCTTCTAATTTTTTTTCGACTTTTGGTTTTTCTTTTTTTTTGAATTTTTGGTTTTATTAACTTTTTTGATATTTAAGTTTCTATATTTTTTGTGTCAATGTTCCAATCTTTCTTTTCGTTTTCTCAGATTTTCGATTTTTCATTTGGAAAAAAATGCAAAAATTGCAAAATTACAAATTTGAGAAATAAAAATGAAAAAACGGAAAATGAAAACTTTGAAAAATCTGAAAAATGGATACAAAGAATTTGAAAAAATGAAGAAACGAAATATCTAAAAACGGAACATGGAAATTAAAAAATGGGGAAAATGAAAAATATTTTTTTTTGAAAGTCGAGAAATTGAAAAATTAAAGAAAATGAAAAAAAGAAAAATTGTGATGTAAGAAAATTGATCGAATGTAAATATTTTTTTGCGTCACTTTGTATAAGCAATTTTAGACAGACGTACTCTAGGGGTCATGACACGTCGAGAAAACATAAAAGTAGCCAATCAGGAAATACAAACACTCACTGCTCACGTTCCTCCTCGGGATTCAGCAAATACGCCGTAGGACTCCTATTAATATTAGCCCCCAGGACTTCACCATACGACAACAGCGCTTTCCCATCCACCATACTCCGGTGAGCCCTTTCAATGGACTAAAACATTACCCGTAAGCAAAGTGACCTCCCTTCAACCCCAGTCCTCAGTTCTCACCGTCGTTATTCCCTCCACAAGAGCATCAAACGTCTCCTTCACAAAGCCCAGACACGGCAAATCGTACATAAACTCCATCAGATATCCCCCAGGAGCTGAATGCGTGTGAGTCCCGCTCAGGATCAGGTTGCTTTCCGTATATGTGCTGTTATACATTTTGTTGAGTCGAAACAGGACCTAGAGCGCATAAACAGCTAATTAAACCCCCTGATAACATCCCTTGATAATACTCACGGCTTTTCGCACACTGTGGGCCATCATTCCCGTGTCAACACTGACGAAAGCCGCCCTTTTCGTCCCGTCGTCGAAGATAAAAGCCCTGGAGAACTGGCGAAGGTGAATTCCGCACCCCTTTTGACTAGATTTGGCATACCCCATCTAGATTAATTTAAAAAAAAATCGTCAATATGTACTTTATTTTTGTAAGTTAAGTAAGTCGTTATACGTACGAAAGTGACCTCTGCAGCCGGTCCTGTACAATCCGCCCTACCCACTCCAATTTTAAGGCGAGCGAAGCTCGGAGGACAAATTTGGCAAATTACGAGAACGTGGATGATAAATAGACATTTCTTTGGCATGATTTCTCCCCCTGGAAAGAAAGACGGACAAGCAATTAAACGCTGCTTCCACCAACTGCGGTGTTTGAGATTGATAAATACTCGCTCTTTTTTTTTTTGAACACTCGGTGCAAACAAGATTTCGTTTAAAAAGTCTTCGTCTGCCGTTTTATTTTATTTCTGGTGGAGCTTTCGGTCTTGAATAATATTTGTAGAGCAGATGTACGTACAATCTTGCCAAAATATTGACCGGGTGACAGATGTTCAGGTCATAGATTGAAAACTCGGTTTTATACTAACGTAAAGTTGATGTCGTCGTAAAGGGTGTGGGTGTACTTATGATAATGGCTTTTTCAGGAAGGATAGGGAAGATTCATTGTTAGTTGGGTATAGGAATTCAGAATTCGTTTAATTGCAGAGAGGTAAAAAATGTCTGGCTTTCTTAATAAAGCTGGAGGCGTTTTTATGGGGAAAAGAATTAGCCAGAAGATCGCAAATACGTAAAATAATTAAGTAATTTCTAAATGCGGAATACAGTGTGGGTAGAAGCACTTTTTTAACGTTTTTAATATCGGGAATTAATGCGAGACGGATCGATGCCTGGGTACGAGCACGTTGCAAAGACAAGAGAATTATTTGCTGTATGTAGTGTGATTTCATATTACCAATACGTGTTTAGTTGGGTTTTGACCCCCACCGGTTTAATTAGTGTGATGCGTAACACTGGTGTCAGCAGTGGGATTCAAAATTAATAATTAAAAAAATTAATCCTGTCCGATTTGCCTGAAATTCGGTTTCTAGACAAATTTTGTCCCGCTGCGACGGTTTCTGGCGTCAGTTGTTGAACATTTTCACTACGTTAAACGAAATCCTCTTTAATTCATATTTGAAAACAAAATTTTGAGTTTGACAGTGTCTAACTCCAGAACCGAGCGAGATTCAGAGTTGCGGTTTTTATCAATGACTTTCTTGAAGTTTTCTAGTCACAGTTGCTAATTTTCAGGTCGAAATCTTCCTTAGTTTAGAATGTACGCGCACATTTATTAGATGGTGTCATTTTCCGAAGAATTGAATATAAAAAATTCAAAAAATAAATCAGAAGCCGTCCTGCAATTTTTTTGATACCAAATTCTTACCCAGGAAGTTCGGATTAGGGAAGAGAGCAATTTTCAAACAAATTGGGGTACCATTAAGCGAGATAGCTTGAATTAATAAAATCCAAAAACTTCAGCCATTCGGAAAAATTCGGTCATAAAATAAACATTTTCCGATCCGCCTGAAATTCGATCCCTAGATTGATTTTGCCCCGTTGAGTCCATTTCTAGCATCAGTTATTGAAAATTTTCCTATTTTAAACGAAATCCTTCTTTAACCCATACTCAAAAACCAAATTTTGAGTTTGACAGTCCATAACTCTGGAATTGACTGAGATTCCGTTCTGCAAATATTTTGATACCAGATTCTTATTCAGGGAATTCGAATTAGGGAATAGAGCAATTTTCAATGAAATCGGGGACCGATTTAGCGAGATAGCTTGAATTAACATAAATCCGAAAATTTCAGCCATACGGAAAAATTTGGTCAAAAAATAAACATTTTCCGATCCACCTGAAATTCGGTTTCTAGACTAATTTTGCCTAGGTGAGTGGATTTCCAGCATCAGTTGTAGAAAATTTTCACAATTTTAAACAAAATCCTTCTTTAACCCATACTCAAAAACCAAATTTTCAATTTGAGAGTCCATAACTCTGGAATCGACTGAGATTCAGTGTTCCAGTTTTTATCAATAACTTTCTTGAGGTTTTCGTGTCACATTCACTAATGTTCAGATCAAAGTGTTCGTTCATTTAGAATCTACGCACATATTTATCAGATGGGGTCATTTTCTGAAGACTTGACTATAAAAAATTCAAAAAATAAATCAGGAGCCGTTCTGCAATTATTTTGATACCAAATTCTTATTCAGGGAGTTCGAATTAGGGAATTGGCCAATTTTCAATGAAATCGGGGACCCATTAAGCGAGATAGCTTAAATTAACATCAATCCGAAAATTTCAGCCATACAGAAAAATTTAGTCAAAAAATAAACATTTTCCGATCCACCTGAAATTCAGTTTCTAGACTAACTTTGCCTCGCTGAGTGGATTTCCAGCATCAGTTGTTGAAAATTTTCACAATTTTAAACAAAATCCTTCTTTAACCCATACTCAAAAACCAAATTTTGAGTTTGAGAGTCCATAACTCTGGAATCGACTGAGATTCAGTGTTCCAGTTTATATCAATCACTTTCTTGAAGTTTTCGTGTCACATTCAGTAATTTTCAAATCAAAATATTCGTTCGTTTATAATCTACGCACATATTTATCAGATGGGGTCATTTTCTGAAGACTTGAATATAAAAAATTCAAAAAATAAATCAGGATCCGTCCTGCAATTATTTTATTACCAGATTCTTATTCCGCGAGTTCGAGTTAGGGAATAGAGCAATTTTCTGTGAAATTGGGGACCGATTAAGCGAGATAGCTTGAATAAACATATATCCGAAAATTTCAGCCATACGGAAAAATTTGGTCATAAAATAAACATTTTCCGATCCGCCTGAAATTCGGTTTCTAGACTAATTTTGCCTCGCTGAATGGATTTCCAGCATCAGTTCTTGAAAATTTTCACAATTTTAAACAAAATCCTTCTTTAACCCATACTCAAAAACCAAATTTTGAGTTTGACAGTCCATAACTCTGGAATCGACTGAGATTCAGTGTTCCAGTTTTCATCAATGACTTTCTTGAAGCTTTCGTGTCATATTCACTGATTTTCAGATCAAAGTATTCGTTGGTTTAGAATCTGCGCACATATTTGTCAGATGGTGACTTTTGCCGATGACATTTGAATATAAAAAATTCAAAAAATAAATCAGGAGCCGTCCTGCAATTATTTTGATACCAGATTCTTATTCCGGGAGTTCGAATTAGGGAATAGAGCAACTTTCAATGAAATCGGGGACCGATTAAGCGAGATAGCTTGAATTAACGTATATCCGAAAATTTCAGCCATACGGAAAAATTTGGTCAAAAAATAAACATTTTCCGATCCTCCTGAAATTCGGTTCTTAGACTGATTTTGCCTTGCTAAGTCGATTTCTAGCATCAGTTGTTGATAATTTTCACAATTTTAAACAAAATCCGTCTTTAACCCATACTCAAAAACCAAATTTTGAGTTTGACAGTCCATAACTGTGGAACCAGTTGAGATTCAGAGATCCCGTTTTGATCAATCATTTTCTTGAAGTTTTCTGGTCATTATCGCTAATTTTCAGATCGAAGACTTTGTTTGTTTAGAATCTACGCAGACATTTATGAGATGGTGTCATTTTCCGAAGACTTGAATATAAAAAATTCAAAAAATAAATCAGCAGCCGTCCTGCAATTTTTTTGATACCAAATTCTTATTCAGGAAGTTCGGATTAGGGAAGAGAGCAATTTTCAAACAAATCGGGGTACCATAGCTTGAATTGATAAAATCCAAAAATTTCAGCCATACGGAAAAATTTGGTCATAAAATAAACATTTTCCGATCGGCCTGAAATTCGGTTCCTAGGCTCACTTTGCCTCGCTGAGTCCATTTCTAGTATCAGTTGTTGAAAATTTTCACAATTTTAAACAAAATCCTTATTTAACCCATACTCAAAAACCAAATTTTGAGTTTGACAGTCCATAACAGTGGAATCGACTGAGATCCAGTGTTCCAGTTTTGATCAATGACTTTCTTGAAATTTTCGTATCACATTCACTAATTTTCAGATCAAAGTATTCGTTCGTCTAGAATCTACGCACAAATTTATCAGATGGTGACATTTTCCGAATATACAAAATTCAAAAAATAAATCAGGAGCCGTTCTGCATTTTTTTGATACCAGATAATTATTCAGGGAATTCGAATTAGGGAAGAGAGCAATTTTCAATGAAATCGGGGACCGATTAAGCGAGATAGCTTGAATTAACCTAAATCCGAAAATTTCAGCCATACGCAAAAATTTGGTCAAAAGATAAACATGTTCCGATCCGCCTGAAATTCGGTTCCTAGACTGATTTTGCCTCGCTGAGTCGATTTCTAGCATCAGTTGTTGAAAATTTTCACAATTTTAAACAAAGTCCTTCTTTAACCCATACTCAAAAGCCAAATTTTGAGTTTGACAGTCCATAACTGTGGAATCGACTGAGATTCAGTGTTCCAGTTTTCATCAATGACTTTCTTGAAGTTTTCGTGTCACATTCACTAATTTTGAGATCAAGGTATTCGTTCGTTTAGAGTCTACACACATATTTATCCGATGGGGTCATTTTCCAAAGACTTGAATATATAAAAAATTTTAAAAATAAATCAGGAGCAGTCCTGCATTTTTTTTTATACCAGATTCTTATTCAGGGAGTTCGAATTAGGGAAGAGAGCAATTTTCAAAGAAATCGGGGACCGATTAAGCGAGATAGCTTGAATTAACATAAATCCGAAAATTTCAGCCTACGGAAAAATTTGGTCAAAAATAAACATTTTCGGATCCGCCTGAAATTCGGTTCCTAGACTGATTTTGCCTCGCTGAGTCGATTTCTAGTATCAGTTATTGAAAATTTTCACAATTTTAAACAAAGTCCTTCTTTAACCCATACTCAGAAACCAAATTTTGAGTTTGACAGTCCATAACTCTGGAACCGACTGAGATTCAGTGTTCCAGGTTTCATCAATGACTTTCTTGAAGTTTTCGTATCACATTCACTAATTTTCAGATAAAAGTCTTCGTTCGTTTAGAATCTACGCACATATTTATCAGATGGTGTCATTTTCCGAAGACTTGCATATAAAAAAATTTAGAAATAAATCAGAAGCCGTCCTGCAATTTTTTTTTACACCAGATTCTTATTCAGGAGGTTCAAATTAGGTAAGAAGGCAATTTTCAAACAAATTGGGGTCCGATTAAGCGGGATAGGTGAAATTGATATAGATTCGAAAATTTTAGCCATACGGAAAAATTTGTTCATAAGATAAACATTTTCCGATTTGCGCCCCTGAAACCATTTCTAGCGTCAGTTGTTGAAAATGTTCACGATTTTATATTTTAAACGAAATCCGTTAACTCATATAACCAGACTTTGAGTCAACAACCCGAGGAGTAAAATTCACATAAACATTTGCGCACTCTGCTTAAAAAGAAGGTCATTCTTGAAAAATATCAATGACGTGTGAAACCCACACACACATTTTTTAATTTACATTTGTAATTTCCGATGAACTTATTAAATCATAGGACAAAGCGATAACAAAAACAATAGTAATTGTTTCACCGGACTGTGACTTCAAACTCACCTACAATTCCACGCAACTTAACACCACTGAACACCACATCTATAACTCACTCACTGTCGTTGACTCACCAAACACTTCTCAAGAATTTTTCCTCGACACGTTGTACACAAACACAGATCCAGCGGATAATAATTACACTGTCATTAGATTACGAATTTTATCTCATTGATGCAAGAATGCGGCGAAAGTTAAGCGATACTCCTCAAATTCGTGTCTTCGTTCCACTTAAATTCAGTGTCGTAATTATCCTGTTTGTGTTTGCCGAGATAACAATATCATGTTATGTAAAAGGCGATTTATTGACTACTTACAGTGGAATTTCGAAGAGACGAACACTGGGTTTTTTAGGAGAGGATTAAGTCAACGGTCGAGTTGTGGTTGTATGTAATGCACGTTCCAAGAAACTTAACACTGACAATGACAAACGTTTGGATGTCAATGATAACTACTTCCGCAGGAATTGCGACATAAGAAGAATTAATTCAATGTCGATGGTCGTTGGTGCGATCAGTGGTAAACATGCTAATGCGGCGGATTGTGTCGCCGGTGAATAAAGGACTATTTTAATCACTGGTACTTACAAATATTTCCCTACGGCTTCGAAAATTCCTTGTCTGTGTATCACCTGTTGTGCACCTGAATTTACTGTTTCGTAGAAAGCTTATAATAACTCTTTAACGGTATTGATGATACCAGTGATAATAATGCGGGCAAAGGAAGGCAACTAGATATGACTGCTATTCGTAATTGTACCGTATGTTATCGGTACCTTCCTTCTCACACTAATTTTATTACATTATATATGAGTCAAATGTCACCTTTATTTGACACAGATTTAGTGCGCTTTTTGAAATTTACAGCAAAATTAAAGTGCTTTAACCCAAAAATTGCCAATTTTCATAAAATTTCCCGCTAAGACACACACCGATTTTTTTCTTATCTAAAACCCAGCTAAAATTCTCCCTAATTACAGTTTAAAATTTCGCAAGCAGCTCACGTTCCGGTTCGAAAAATACTATCCCGATAATCCCGGCCGGAAATTGCACGAACAGAGAAAATCGCCAGCTTTGAACTTTGACACAAATTTCAAGACATAAAGAGAAGATAATTAAATTTGCGTGTAACGGGTGCTGATTTGTGTCGCATGCGATGCAAGCCCTGCATAATTCAATGGTTAAATTGATTCGCAGATTTCGCCGGTTGGAATACGGATTAAACTGAATTTGGAAGTATGCAACCCAGTTTGAGTTTGGTATTTATTTATACAAGATTGGGGAAAATTGGATTCTGCAGGGGCGGATTTATTGATAGAGGGAGGGGTTTTAGTCATTTTTATGTACTAGGGTTTAGTGAGTTTGTTTCCATTCAGTTTTTAGTAGGTTGTAAGCTTTGTTTTTTCGACGTTTCGTGGCAGTAGAGTTTGAAAAAATAGATATCCCGTTTCCGTCTCCCTGTCTGTGGTAATCACCGAAATTACGAGCTTTTTGTTTTTTACACTTTTCATAATCGCATTTTTTGTTGTTTTTACTTCCAGAGCGTGAGCGTTTTTAAACATTTGCAAGGTATAATAACGTTTTAATTGTACTTGATTTTTGTAGCTTTCTGGCTGCGGTTTTTTTCCTCTCTTGACTCCATACATTTTTGTCGTAGTTCTTTTTTGCATTTTTAGTCGCTTTTTTGTGGAGTTTTGTTTTTATTCCTTCTTTATTTTTTTTGTCCTTTGTTTCCGCAATTTTTTGTAGGCTTTTTGATTTTCTTCTTTTGGGATTTTTTGTCGTGTTTTTTTGTTATTTTTCTATTTGCCTTTCGTTATTATATTTTTTTCTTGCCCTTTTTTATCGTATTTTTTTGTGTCATCTTTTGAAGCCGTTTTTTTATTATTTTTTTTGTGGTCAGTCTTCAAATAGTTTCTTGTTTTCTCTTTTCTCATTTCTTTTAGCCACATTTTTATAAGGTGTTTCCTATTTATATTGTTTTGATCGTTTGGTGTTATTTTTTGCCGTTTTTGTAGTTTTTTTTATTGTTTTTGGTGTCTATTTGTTGTTGTTTTTATTGTTTTTTTGTTGTATTTTGTTATTTTTGTTTTGTTGATCTTTTGTATCGGTTTTTTGCGTTTTTTCGAATTTTCTTTGTTGTTTTTTTGTCTGTGTTTTTTAGCCTTTCCTTTTATTATGACATCATTTGTCGCCTTTTTGTTCTCTATTCCTGCAATTTTTTTGTGAACTTTTTGTATTATTTTATTTCCTTTTTTTGTGTGACTCTTTTTGTTGTTTTTTATTGTATTTTGTTGACTCTTTTGTTGTCTTGTGTTGCCTTTTGTTGTTTTTTTAGTTTTTGTTATTTTCTGTTGGTTTTTTGTTTTTTGTTTTTTTTTGTTATTCGGTGAATGTTTTCATTTTTTTCTTATTTTTTGTCACTTTCTATAGTGGCCTTTTTTGGCATAATTTTTTTGGCATTATTTTGGTCTTTTTTATTGTCGTTCGTGCTATTTTTTTACATTTTTTTGTAGATATTTTCGTTTTCTATTTTTGAAGCTTTTTGTAGTTTTTTTTTTCTTTTATTGCGACATTATACTTCGAATTTTTTATGTTCTCTGTTCCTGTATATTTTTGGTGGCCTTTTTGTACTATTCTATTTTCTTTTATGTTATTTTTTGTTGTCTTTTGTTGTCCATTTTTGTCTCTTTTGTTGTTCTTTTTGTTTGTTGATGTTTTTTTTTTAGATTTTTGTAGCGTTTTTTCCTTTTATTGAGACATTATTCGTCGCCTTTTTGTGTTCTTTGTTCTTACAACTTTTTGCGAACTTTTTGTACTGTTTATTTTTTTTGGCTGCTTTTTCTTGTCTTTTGTTATTTTTTGTTGTCGTTTGTTGAATTGAATTTTTTTGAATTGAAATTGAAATTGAGTTTATTGGTGCATAATACATAATACATACATGTTTTGCACAGGTCAGCGAATACAAATTACCAAATTCTTAAAACTATATTTTACCAAAGTCACAATTCCAAAATTCTTCTATGCTATATAGTGCCCGATTTGTTAATTTGTTGTTTGTTGTCTTTTGTTGTCTTTCGTTGATTCTTTTGTTGTCTTGTGTTGTTTTTTGTTGCTTCTTTGTTGTTTTTTTTCATTTTCTGTTTCATTTATTTTTTGTTATTTTCTGTTGGTTTTTTGTTGTTATTTGCTGCATGTTTTCATTTTTTCTTGTTCTTATTGTCACTTTTTATAGTCGCCTATTTATTGCATAATTTTCGCAGATTTTTTGGCGTTTTTTGCTCGTCTTCATCGTCTTTTTTCTGTTTTTTACTTTTCTTTGTAGATTTTTTTATTTTTTATTTTTGAAGCCTTTTTAGTAGTGTCTTTTTTTCTTTTGTTGCGACGTTATTCGTCGCCTGTTTTATGTTCTCTGTTTCTGCAGGTTTTTGGTGGACTTTTTTTAATATTTTATTTTATTTTATGTTGTTTTTTTTTGTTGTCCTTTTTTGACTCTTTTGTTGTTCTTTTAGTTTGTTGTTTTCTGTTGGTTTTTTGTTGTTTATTCCTTTTTTTTGTCATTTGCTATGTGTTTTTGTAGATTTTTTGTTTTCTATTTTGAAGTCTTTTTTGTAGCGTTTTTTTCCTTTTATCGTGACTTTATTCGTCGCCTTTTTGTGTTCTTTGTTCCTGCAATTTTTTGTGAATTTTTTGTACTGTTTTATTTTCTTTTTTTTGGTGACTTATTATTGTCTTTTGTTGTCTTTTGTTGACTCTTTTGGTGTCTTGTGTTCTTTTTTGTTGTTTCTTTTCATTTTTTGTTATTTTCTGTTGGTTTTTTGTTGTTTTCCTTTTTTTTGTTATTTGCTGTATGTTTTCATTTTTTCTTGTTCTTAGTGTCACTTTTATAGTCGCCTATTTATTACATAATTTTCGCAGATTTTTTGGCGGTTTTTTTGTAGATTTTTTTGTTTTCTATTTTTGAAGCATTTTTAGTAGTATTTTTTTTCTTTTGTTGCGACATTATTCGTCGCCTGTTTTATGTTCTCTGTTCCTGTATGTTTTTTGGTGGACTTTTTATACTATTTTATTTTCTTTTATGTTGTTTTTCGTTGTCCTTTTTTTGTCTCTTTTGCTGTTCTTTTAGTTTGTTGTTGTTTTCTGGTGGTTTTTTCGTTCTTTTTTTGTGTCATTTCCTATGTATTTTTTTTTCTTGTTCTTTTTGTCACTTTCTATAGTCACCTTTTTTCGCAACATTTTTGCAGACCTTTTTGCCGTTTTTTGGTCTATATTTTGCTTTTTTTCGCATTTTGTTGGTTAATTTTTTGTTTTCTATTTTTGAAGCCTTTTTTGTAGCATTTTTTTTATTCTGACATTTTTCGTCCCCCTTTTTGTGTGTGCTGTTCTTGCAATTTTTTTGTGGACTTTTTATCCTACTTTATTTTCTTTTTCTGTGTGATTTTTTTGTTGTTTTTTGTTGTTTTGTGTTTCCTTATGTTGTCTTTTGTTGTTCTTTTAGTTTTTTGTTGATTTCTGTTGGTTTTTTTGTTTTTTTTTTTTGTTACTTGCTGTATCTTTTTATTTATCCTTGTTCTTTTTGTCACTTTTTATAGTAAGCCTTTCTTTCGTATAATTTTTGATGACTTTTTTTCATTTTTTTTATTTTTTTTTTGGGCTTTTAATTTTAATTTTGTTGTGTAAATGTTTTGTTGTTTTTTTGTTGTCTTTTGTTGTCTTCTGTTGTTTTTTATTGTCTTTTGTTGTTCTTTTTGTTTTTTATTATTTTCTGTTAGTCTTTTGTTTTTTTTTTATCGTCTTTATTGACGCCTTTTGAGTTCGAAATTTTTGTTTTTTTTTAAAGCGCTTTTTGTTTTATTTTAGCTTTTTCTGAATGCAGTACTTAATAGTTTTGAGAGGTTTTTGTTTTTTTTATCGCTTTTTGTAATCACCATTTTATTCTCCTTTTTTTTGCATTTTTTATGTTTTTTTGTCTTTCTTAATTTTTTTAAGAGTTTTTTTGTTGTTTTTTCTTGTTTTTTGTTAACTCTTTTGTTGTCTTGTGTTGTTTTTTGTTGCTTCTTTTTATTTTTTGTTATTTTCTGTTGGCTTTTTTGTTGTTATTCTTTTTTTTTTTTTGTTATTTGCTGCATGTTTTCATTTTTTCTTGTACTTATTGTCACTTTTTATAGTTGCCTTTTTTTGCATAATTTTCGCAGATTTTTTTGGCGTTTTTTGTTCTCTTGTGTTCCTTTTGTTGTCTTCTGTTGTTCTTCTCGTTTTTTGTTGATTTCTGTTGGTTTTTCTTTTTTTTTTGTTATTTGCTATATGTTTTTATTTGTTCTTGTTCTTTTTGTCACTTTTTATAGTAAGCCTTTTTTTCGCATAATTTTTGAAGACTTTTTTTTCGCTTTTTTTATTTTTTTGTGGGCTTTTAATTTTAGTTTTGTTTTGTGTGAATGTTTTGTTGTTTTTTGTTGTCTTTTGTTGTCTTCTGTTGTTTTTTCTTGTCTTTTTTTGTTTTTTTTTGTTTTTTATTGTTTTCTGTTAGTCTTTTTGTTTTTTTTATCGTCTTTTTTGACGCCTTTTGTGATCGAATTTTTTGTTTTTTTTTAAAGCGCTTTTTATTTTATTTTAACTTTTTCTGAATGCGGTATTTAATTTTTTTTGGGAAGTTTTTGGGTTTTTTTATCGCTTTTTGTAATCACCTTCTCATTTCACCTTTTTTGCATTTTTTAAGATTTTTTTGTCTTTTTTAAATTTTTTTGATTTTTTTTGTTGTTTTTTTTTGTTTTTTGTTGTCTTTTGTTATCTTTTTTTGGATAATTTTCGCAGATTTCTTTGGCGTTTTTGGTGTTTCTTATCATATTTTTAGCTACTTTTTACATTTTTTTTGTAGATTTTTTTTGTTTTCTATTTTTGAAGCCTTTTTTGTAGTGTTTTTTTTATTGCGACATTATTCGTCGCCTTTCTTATGTTCTCTGTTCCTGTATGTTTCTTGATAGATTTTTTGTACTATTTTATTTTCTATTGTTGTTTTTTTTGTTGTCCTTTTTTCTCTCTTTTGTTGTTCTTTTTGTTTGTTGTTGTTTTCTGTTAGTTTTTTGTTGTTTGTTTCTTCTTTTTTGTCATTTGCCATGTGTTTTTGGTTTTTTCTTGTTCTTTGTCATCTTTTTCGCATAATTTTTGCAGACTTTTTTGCCTCTTTGGTATTTTTTTTATCGTTTTTTTTATTTTTTCGCATTTTATTGGTTAATTTTTTTGTTTTCGATTTTTGAAGCTTTTCTTGTAGCGTTTTTTTCTTTTATTGTGACATTTTTCGCCCCCTTTTTGTGTTCGCGCTCTTCCTGCAATTTTTTGTGGACTTTTTGTACTACTTTATATTCCTTTTTTGTGCGACTTTTTTGTTGTCTGGTGTTTCCTTTTGTTGTCTTTTGTTGTTCTTTTTTTTTGTTGATTTCTGTTGATTTTTCTTTTTTTTTTGTTATTTGCTGTATGTTTTTATTTATTCATCACTTTCTATAGCAGCCTTTTTTCGCATTTTCCTTTAATTTTTTTGTTCTCTATTTTTGAAATGTTTTGTAGCGTTTTTTCTTTTTTGTGACATTCGTCACCTTTTCTGTGTTATCTATTCCTGCAATTTTTTTGTGGGTTTTTATTTTAATTTTGTTTAATGTGATTTTTTGTTGTCTTTTGTTATCCTGTGTTGTTATTTCGTATCTTTTGTTTTTCTTTTTGTTTTTTATTGTTTTCTGTTAGTCTTTTTGTTATTTTTTATCGTCTCTTTTGACGCCTTTTATGATCGAATTTTTTGTTTTTTCTTTTAATAGCGTTTTTCATTTTATTTCAGCAATTTCTGAAAGCGGTTTTTAATTTTTTTTTTCTTTTGGAAAGTTTTTGTTCTTTCTGATTTTCTTTTTTCGCTTTTTATAACCACTTTTTTATTTACCATTTTTTGCATTTTTTATGCTTTTTTTTGTCCTTCTTAATTTTTTGTATGACTTGTTTATTGTCCTCTGCCGTCTTTTTTTGTATTTTTAGTCTTTCCTTACCGTCTTTTTTTAACACTTTCTCGCAATTTTTTTTTGTTTTCTCTGTATTTATTACTTCTTTTTTTTTAGATATATTTTGTGTCCTTCCTTTCCGCAGATTTTTTGTGGATTTTTTTATTCTTTCTTGTTTCCTTTTTTTTTTTTGTTGGTTTTTTGTTGTTCTTTTGGTTTTTTGTTGTTCTTTATGGGTCTTTGTTGGTTTTATTGTTTTTTGTCATCATTTGTTGGTTTTTTGTTGTATTTTGTTGCTTATTTTGTTACTTTTGCAATTGTTTTTTCTGTTGCATATTTTTTGTTAGACTATTTTTGTAAGTTTTTTTTGGTCTTTTTATCGTCTTTTTTTGACATATTTTGTCGTTTTTTTTTTTGTTCTTTTTTTGTCTATTTTGTATTTTTTACTTCTTTTTATCGCCTTTTTTTGTTGCGTTTTTTATTTAACCTTATTTATAATCACATTTTCTGACACTTGTCTTATCCTTGCACACCTGTTTTTGTTTTAACATTTACGGGGTCTCAAGAAAAAATTAAATTAGAAAAGTCAAATTTTATAATTTATCTAAGACCCTGAATTTGTTTGATGGTACTTCAGGAGAGAGGAAAGTTCTGTCTAAATAGCTTTATACCAATTTTTGTAGCTTTGAAATTTAGAAACATTTTTAGAATTTTACTTTCAAATGAGTGACGTAAGTAGAGTACTACTTAACGTTAAAAGTTTCAGTACGACCCGTATACAATTTCTTTTCCCCAATCAACGGTTTATAGTACCCTTTATGGGTGATCCGATGCTCCCCTGGTACCACACCTCCAGTAACCGTCCAGTTAACAGTAATGGTACTTTCTCCGGTCACAATATTGGTCCGTTCCCACTGAAATCTAAAAACAAAATAACCCCAAACCGACAAAATGGAAAAAGTACTTAGTCTCCCAGTTGGCATCAGAAGCCACAAACACCCATCGACTGTCAACTTTTCTTTCCACAAGCAAAAATGAGTCACCATGGAGAGCATCATGTCTTGGATTTCCCGAAACCTACAAGAACAAACCTCGGTACTACTAATAGAATAGTCAAAAATAATATAGTACGAATTTGACAACAACTGTGTCTCCTTTGGACACACTAGACGGCGGTTGCTGAATACAGTCCCCAAATTGTTTTCCTAAACCAGAACCGTCAAAAGTGTCTGGTGGTACCAGTGAGACTAGTTCCTTCGGGAATTGTGGTGGTTCCGGTCCTGGCGGCAACCCCAAATTCTATTAAAACTCAAAATTATTGTCTCAAAAATTCACAAAATTGTGGTCGTACCTTGACTAAAGCCGTCACTAACTTCGTGTACTGACTTATATACAGGTCACACGTGTATGGTCCGTAAAGAGTAGACGCTCCCTCATAACCCTGAAACTATAACAAAAATCTAACACCAACTTTCGTAAGTACCGACCTGGTACTCTTCAAATGTCGTCACGTAGCTCGAGTAAATATTGCTGAGTCCTGCAATGATTACTTCCGTGTTATTCGTTCCCACTACACTCTTAACCGCGTCTTTGACCCTTCGCCCACACATCGTCGTAAACTCTCCCGGTACTGCCACAAGTACCACATTCCCAAACATGGTGACTTGCGTCGGAACTATTTTAGGTTGCCACTGGTACGGAACTGTAGCCTAAAAATACAATCAATTTGGTTTCAAATCACCCTCAAAGTAGTACCCGTCCACTATTGAGGAAAATCTTTTTCGGGGCTTGACAGGCTGCATCTTCAGGTGTGAGCAAAGAAAGGGTGTCCAAGAGACCGTTCAAGATTGGATCATGACCAATCACGCCACCACCCATGGAAGGTAGGCACCCGTGGATTTCGTCTTGGGTACCATCTGGGCGCACCCGCGTAAATTTCGCTTGCGACATGTCGAGGTACTGATGAATGAATTTAACCGTCCCGAGTACCTCAACACCGTCTTGTTTCAACAAGTCTAAAGCTTTATTGAAGAGGTTTTTAGCCACGATTTGCAAATTCTTGAGGAGAGCTTGCTCGGAACCTAGTAATGGTACTGTTAGAGTTTGTGCTACTAGTGTCGGTACTACCAACACTGCTCGTTTTTTCCGCACGTGGAAATTGGTGCCACGTCTCCTAGGTTTGTGGATGCGAAAGCCCCAACGAATGGTCCCTACAAAGTACCATCATTAAGAGTTTTTATAGGGTGGTACCTTTCCTAGGAAGGTGTTTCCGTTCATGTATTGTTCCAGCAAAATGGACGCATATCCGACGTTATCGGTACTAACCAACCGGTTTCTGCCATCCAGGGACGTCGGGTGTACCGGAAACCAGTTGAAAGCACCAACAGTTTTGTTGTCGGATTTTCGTACAAACTCTAGTTGTACTAGAATTTTGTCAACGTTGTAGCGGTACCTCGATTTTTCTTCCTGCGGGTTGAGACGGTACGCATCTGGTTGTCTGTTCTCGTTAGTACCGAGAAGTGTACCACTTTTGAGAAAAATTCGCGCGTCGGCTAAATTGTCGTGGGCTCTTACAACCGACTGGAAGTACTTGGGGTAGATTTGGTCTGATTTAGCGGTGTAGTACCTTGATTATGGCTTCCACGAGATAGTCGAAGGTTTGTTTGACGAAACCTCTAACCAAGAGGTCGTATAAGAAGTCCTTGAAGTACCCTCCGGGTGTTTGGTGGGTGTGGATTCCACTGATTATCACGTTTTGTTGGTTGTAGATGCCTTTGTGGAAAGTGGATAGATTGGCTAATACCTGGAAAGTGCGTTCAGTGGTTTGAATGTGAACAGTTGAGTTAGTACCGCTTGTCGGACGTACAGAGACGTTCCGAGTGTGTCGGTACTGACGAAGACGGTTCGATTGGTACCATCGTCTATGATGAAGGTGCGAGCAAACTGGCGCAGGTGGATTCCAAGACCTGTTTGCCCTAGGGAAAGATAACCCATCTGAAAATACAAATTTTAAGAAAGTCTTGACAGACTTTTAAAAAAAAATGTATACAAAATATATTTCGGTTGGGGGTCCAGTACAGTCCGCTATTCCAACGCCAACTTTATATTCAGCTCTAATAATAGTAAAATAAGACAACATAAACAGACTTAAGTACATTTTAAAATTTGTCCCAGATAAGACTAACACTTTTAAAGTAGCTACACCTTCGTTATCACCTTTTTAAAATGGAAATCGTTGTTTTTGCTCATTTCCATTTACGCAAACTTTTCCAACTATTCGTTATCTTATCATAATTATTCTACGACCTCAACGGCAATATATCAGGTTTTTTTCCGCACGAAAAATCGCATTTAAGGATGATTAATACGACAGAGAAAATCCCGAAATAAGAAAAATAACACCGATGTCTCCATTTCTTAAATTTACGAGTCGAGATCCAAATTCTCGTTTCATAAAAACCCATCCCAACAATAAACACACGAAAAAATTGCGGATTTCTTTCCTTCTAGTTTAAAATCTCCGTTAATCGGTTCGATAATCTCATGAATTTTAACCAACCCTCTGGGAATGTTGTTTGTAGAAAGATACTAACGAATTTTTTAAGGGTTCAGCATGTAATCAATCACAGATAGACTGAATTCTTCGACAAATATTTGTAAAGAAATTCAGAATTGATAACAAATTTGATAAACTTCAAGCGAAAAACGAAGCTTTACAATTTAAATGATCATGCACGTATGTTAAATATCTTCAGTAAAATTTTTACAGCGTTCTTCGCCGTTTACGTGTTCGGTACCACCGCAGTACCAATATTTCCACCTTCCAGGATGTACCTAATCCTCCTCAGTTGTCTCTTAAATTGTGCAGACTCCATCTACTACGTCGGAGTAGGCCGGGCTGACTGTACCGGCCCTCCCACAGAAGTCAATTTGGTGAGTACCACCAGTATCCGACAAACTCAAATTAAATTTAGATGGGTTTCGCCGAGATAACTCAAATTGCATGTGGGCTGCATTTGCGACAATTCGTACGAGCGTTCGTGGTCAATGATGGTACCACCAGCATGATTTTTGTCAATATCGACGCCCATTCGACGAGTGACGGCGTCCGACAAGAAGTACGTCCTGATTTACAATTATACAAAAATAATTCAAATCGATATAGGTACTGGTGCGACTAAATCGACTCTACAATGGTACCTACAACGAGCAAAACGTCATCATTAGTAGTACCCACACTCACTCGACCCCTGGAGGTCACCACAAATACTTCTTATACGACATTTCAGTGAAAGGATTTTCGCAACAATACTTCGACTATCTCGTCGATGCAATCACCAAGGTACTACTAATTAGTAAAAGTACGACAACTAATACAGTCGTAGGCAATCACGAAAGCGCACAACGCCATCACCGAAAGTAGGATTTTTCTAAACGTGGGGGTGGTACCCAACGCCAACATTAATCGAAGTCCGGCTGCGTACTTAATGAACCCTGAAGCCGAACGATCAAGGTATCGCTACAACGTGGACAAGGAAATCACCCAACTCAAGTTCGTGCGGGTTTCTGATGATAAACCCATCGGTACTATCAATTGGTTTGCCGTCCATCCAAACACAATGAACTCGACGAATTGTCTAGTGAGTTCCGACAATCTGGGGTACGCTTCGGTTTTGTTGGAAAGCCACTTCAACGGAGACGTACTAACAAAGGTACCACCAAGATAGTGGCAAATTTTTGTTCAAAATTGTTCGTAGGAGGGTTTTGTGGGGGCTTTCGCTTCCACTAACATAGGCGACGTTTCCCCAAATACCAAAGGACCGATTTGTGTCGACACTGGTAACAAGTGCGACTTTGTTACTAGTACCTGCGACGGCGACGCAGCGACTTGCATCGCGTCAGGTCCGGGAAAAAACATGTTCGAAAGTACTAGAATCATAGCTGAACGAATTTACAACAAGAGTCTAGTAAGTACGACTTTGGTTTATAATGTTAATAATAATGGCAGGCGCTTTTGCAAAATGGTGGTACCGAATTGTCTGGACCTGTCAGATCGATTCACCAATACATCGACATGACCAAAGCGAAAGTCGAGGTACTTTCCAACGGCACTAAGAAGCTAGTACGGGGTTGCAGCCCAGCTATGGGTTACAACTTCGCGGCTGGTACCACCGACGGCCCTGGTATATCTAGTGCGGCGCAAGGTACCGGCTCCAAAAATTTTCTATTGACGATAGGGAGAGATTTGCTTTCCGTACCAACCAAAGACGACGTAAAGTGTCACCACCCTAAAAAAATTCTTATCAACAGCGGAAAGGTACCACTTTGTCAATGACCAGACGCGTCTGACGGACTAGTTTTAGGCGACTTTTCCGTACGAGTGGCAACCTAAAGTCGTTCCAACGCAAGTAGCGACCATTGGGTTTTTTGTCGTGGTGGCAGTACCTGGTGAGTTCACCACGATGTCGGGACGACGAATGAGAGAGGCGGTGCGACAAGTCGTGGGAAAAAGCGACACGAAGGTGGTAGTTTCGGGTCTTGCGAATGTCTACACAAGCTATGTGGCGACTCCTGACGAGTACCAAGTGAGTGTCAAAGTCGTACTATGACTATACTAACTATAAATTGTGTGTTAATAGCTGCAGCGGTACGAAGCTGCGTCAACTATCTATGGACCCTACACCCTTGATATTTATATTAATCAGTACAAGAAATTGGTTTCAAAAATGATGAACAACGAAACGGTTGATTCTGGTCCACGTCCTGCTAAATTTCCACCGGTACTTGTGTCTCTTGTGGAACCACCAAGCTTCGATGGTTCCGGGTTGCGCAAATTTGGAGAGTGCTTGAAGCAACCACGGTCCAAAGTTTCCAAAGGGGATACAGTAGTGACCAAATTCGTAAGTACCGGGGTTGGAAAAACCTACAACTCGACTTAGGTTTCAGGAAATCCGCGCCACAATCCTCTGCACGGTGACACTTTTTTTGTGGTGGAAGTAAAAGTAGGCGATGGTTGGACTGTGGTAGCTACTGATGCCAACTGGGAGACTAGGTATGACGGGTTTGTTGACACCAAAGTAGTACTGTGTGGATTTCAGGTTGTACTGGGAGAGAACTAACGTGGTCACGAGGCAATCTGAAAGTACTATCGAGTGGATGGTTGGGGAAAAAGTACAAGAAGGAGAGTACCGGATAAGGTGGAAGGGTCACTACAAAACCGTGCTAGCACAAATCGAGTACTACGAAGGTGGTACTAGAAGTTTTATTGTACAATAAAGTACTTGATTAGTTAAGAGACCGTGAAAGTGTCTGATAGTCCTTCATAGGGGTAAATGTCTCCATCTTGACCCTTATAGTTTCCGATGTGTCTGATTCGGTACTCCCCGGCCTCTACTCCTTCACCCACGTCCCATTCAATCGTCACTTCGCTTTCGCCAGTTTCAGAATTAGTGCGTTCCCACCAGAGCCTTGTCTCCCAGTTGGCATCAGTCGCGACCACCACCCAATCATCTCCGGTCGATTTTTCCACAGTCAGGAAGGTACGACCGTGCATAACATCATGTCGCGGGCTTCCACTCACCTAACAATTTAATTAGTACTACCTCACCATCAAGACAACGTACTTACAAATTTAACGACGACTGTGTCTCCCACAGTCGCTGCTTCCGGTTGTTGAAGACAATCACCGAAATTTTGGCCTTCGGCTACACCATCTGAAGCCGCAGGAAACACTAGAGTGATGAGTTGGGACGAAAAATCGCGAGGAGTCGGACCAGGGTCCAAAGTTTCATTCTATAGACAATAGTGACAATTAAAATTGTTTTAAATTAAAATCGTCGAGGTGGTACCGTCATCAATGCAGTCGCCATTTGTTTGAACCTATTAATATATAGGTTAAGAGTGTGTGGTCCGAAAATCGTAGATCCGCCTTCGTACCGTTGCAGCTACAACATTTTAGTACTAATAGTGTCACGAAAGGTTAGAGTCGTACTTGGTACTCTTCAAACGTTGCGATGTAGTTGGTGTAGACGTTGCTGTGTCCTGTGAGGATGGGTTTGGTGTTTTCGGACCCACCGTTACTGATGATGGTTTCTTGGACTGCCTCTCGGAGTCGTCGGCCTGACATGGTGGTGAACTCCCCGGGTACTGCTAACAGTACGACTTCTCCGAACATGAGGATTTGGGTGGTGACCACACTGGGTTGCCAAGGGTAGGGGAAGTCGATTCCTCCGGTGTTAAGAAGGATGGGTTTGGGGGCATGACAGGCTATTTCTTCTTCGGTTGGAGGAAACAGGAAGTCGCGAACGGCGTCCCAGAAAGGATTGTCGGTTATAGTACCTTGAGCGAAGTCGAATTCGCCTGGACCGTCAGTAGTACCACCAGCGAAACTGTAACCCATAGCGGGTGTGCACCCTTGAATCTACAAAGACACTTTCTAGACTCAACCCCAATGTGGTACTACGTACCTCCTGCTCGGTACCGTCATCCAGCGTAATTGTGGCCTTTTCAGTCGGCATGTCCACGTACTGGTGGATGTATTTAACCGGTCCCGAGACCTCAAACCCATCTTGCTCGAACAACTCCTAAAAGTACAATCAATACACGTCCACCAATCTCTCCCGATTTTTACCTTCCCTTTTTCGAATAGTTTGGTTGCGATGATTTCGGTACTTTCCACCATGTTGTCCCCAGGTCCAAACGCTATACAGTTTTTCGCGTCGCCGTTGCAAGTACTGGTCACAAAGTCGCACTCTTCACCTGTATCTATACAAATCGGGCCTTTGGTATTGGGGGAGACGTCTCCCAAGTTGGAGGAAGCGAAGGCTCCGATGAAGTCTCCCGTTCCGGGGAGGCTTCCTGGGTTCATTAGACTCTCGAACTGGATGGAGGCAAGGCCTACGTTGTCCGAACTGACCAGGCAGTTGGTGTTGTTCATGGAGGTGGCGTGGACTGCGTACCAATGGAGGACTCCGATTGGCTGGTTGTCGGAGGATCGGACGAATTTTAATTGGACGATTTCTTTATCGGTGTCGTATTCGTACCTAAACAGAAAGTATAGAAAAGTGGGGGAAAAGAGTGCGGCGAGGTTTCGTACTTGGCGCGTTCCTCTTCAGGGTTGTAGAGGTAGGACGCGGGGCTGCGGTTGATATTGGCGTCCAGGAGGGTGTCAGTGGAGAGGAAGATTTTTCCTTGGACCATATTTTCGTGTGCGTTGACTATGCTCTAGAATTTCATATATATATGAATGGACTCCGAATAAACCAACTCGTAAACAAAAAAACTATATACACGTACGTGTAATGGTTAATTCAAGAAGTTAAATTGGACGAGGACATTTCCCAAGATACAAATAACCGTAAGACCACTTCTATAAATAAATAGAAGTAAGTTTCTACGTGTTTTACCTGCGTTATTCCGTTCACGTAAGCATCAAAGGTCTCTTGAACAAAACCCAAACAGGGAATATCGAGCATCAAATCCATCAAATACCCACCAGGGGTGGAGTGGGAATGGGTTCCACTTATGATGAGATTCTGTTCGGTGTACGTATCGTTATACAAAGAGTTCAGATTTTTCAATACCTTTTAGAAAAAATTTGTTTTTAAAAAAATACTAAATGAAACGTACGAGTGTTTTACTTGTCGTCTGACTCCGTGGTTTATCGTTAGCGAATCCACTGTCACAAAAACGGCCCTGTTTTCTCCATCATCAACGATAAAAGCTCTGGAAAACTGGCGCAAATGTAGCCCACACCCAACTTGACTCAATTTAGCATAACCCATCTACAACGAAAATTAATCAACAATAAAAAAAAATTTGGTTATGTACGTACAAAAATTATTTCTGCGGCCGGACCTGTGCAGTCTGCCCTTCCGATTCCAATTTGATAATCGGCTGAAACAGCAGCCGATTGTAAAAGGGCCAAGCCCAGCAGAGTCCCCACTTTCCACATCTTAATTTAATATAACTAGATCGTCCGAGGTAAGGGACTTTTATATGACTTTGTCGAGTGGACGATAAGACGACTTACTTTGAAGAAAAAACACAAAGAGAAATAATTGAGCTAAATCCCGATAACAACACCGAAGCCCACTTGTGTACACAAACGTCTTAAAACTGATTCTTTTAATCCGCTTATTGAGTAACGAGATAAACTTTAAATTGATTGATTTTCTCGATAAAGTGATTTAAAAGTACAAGGTTAAAACGCGGATCGGGGCTTAAGTTTGTTTTATTTGGCTTAGCGGATCAAACTTTGGACGGGTTGTTTTTGCGGAAAAGTAGAGAAAACTGCTAAATTGGTTGAAGCGATGGTTTTATAAATTATTTTAGTTTATCTGGGGGATTTAAGAAAATAGAAAAGTATTCTTTCGTTGCAGTCCAGCGCCCTAAGAATAATAAGACGTTTAAAAAAGCAATGAATGTTTTAGGAAAATAGAGTCGTCTTACGACGAGACGGTGTAATGAAACGTATTTTTAGTGGTTTTTGTGTGGCGGTGTTGAATTTAGAAATGTTTCTGTTGTATTTGGACTAGTTTTTTAAGTTTGGGGTGAATAAAACTTGACCGTGTATTCTCAGAACGTTATTTTTGTATCTACTGAACCGACAAATATTTAAAACTAGTGTTTATCTCCAGATGTTACTTTGGAATGAAATACGGCTTTTTGGAATTTAAAGAAACTGATTCTCAATCGAATTTTCTAAAATTTTGGTTAGGTCGGGTCAGATCAGGTCCATAAACACGATCTAATTTTCAAATCAATACGTCCAGTTCTATTTCTTAGATTTTTTTAGATCAGGTTTTCATAAACTCAAATTTTCATTGAAAACATGGAATTTTCGACTTTTTATATTTTTCTTGAATCGCCCAAAGAAATTTGTAATTTTTTTAACATTTGTTCGAACACTCACAATTTTTCCGGAATCGCTCTATGAAGTTTGAGTTTTTTTTTTAATTGACTTTAAAACCAAATTTTTCAAAAATCTTCATCCGGATCCATAAGTATGCTACATGTTTTGGTTCAGCATGTCAAGATCTATATTCTAGAATTTTGTCTGGATTTTTAGGGAACTTTTTCAAAAACTCAATTATTCAATGAAAATTATAGAAATTTGGACCACCTTCAAAAATTAATCGTTAAATGATATTTGTAGATTCCGAGAAGATAAATTTGTCCCCATATTTTCGAACACTCCAGAATCGCCCTGGTATGAAGTTTTATTTTTTTTAAATTGACTTTAAAACCAAATATTTCTAAAATTTTTAGATTTTTGTGGATTTTTCGGGAACTGTCAAAAAGTCAGTTCTTCGATGAAAATTACAGAAATTTCGGCCGTTTTTCCACCACGTTCAAAAATTAGCCATCAAAGTCTTTTCGAAGATTTCACTTCCATAAGTTCGATTTGGCCTTTTTTCTTCGAAAATTCATACAATTTTTCCAGAATCCTTTAATGAAATGTGTCATTTTTAATTTTTTTTAATTTACCTTCAAACCGGATATGTCTAGAATTTTGTTCCAAGCTCATAAACACGTTAAATTTTTCGAATTGGCGTATTTAGATCTATATTTTATAATGTTGTCTGGAATTTAGGGATTTTTTCCAAAAACTCAATTTTTCAGTGAAAATGATTGAAATTTCGACTTTTTCGACCACTTCTAAAAATTAACCATTAAGAATTTTTTGTAGATTTCAACCTCAGGAAGCAACATTTAGCCCCATTTTTTCTATAACCCATACAATTTTTCCTGAATCGCCACTGAAATTTGTCACTTTTTTTTTAATTTTATTTATTTTTTTAATTGACTTTCTAACCAAATATTTCTAAAATCTTGCTCCAGGTCCATAAACATGCTTTATTTTTCAACTTAGTACGTCGGGATATATATGTAATTCAGATTTTTTTTCTGGATTTTTAGGAAACTTTTTTAAAAATGCAATTTTTCAATTAAAATTTCGATCTTTTTTTGAAAACCTTCAAATATTAGTCGTTAAATGTTTTTTGAAGATTCTAAACTCCAGAAGATACATTTGCCCCAATTCGAACCCTCACACTTTTTTCAGAATCGTCTTACGAAGTTAGACATTTTTTTTTAATTAACTTTCAAACCAAATATTTCTAAAATCCTCAGATTTTTTCTGGATTTTTAGAGAACTTTTTCAAAAGCTCCGTTTTTGCAATGAAAATGACAGAAATTTCGACCTTTTTCGACCAAGTAACATTTAGCCCCATTTTTTCTACATCTCATACAATTTTTCCTGATGAAATTTGTCATTTATTTGATTTTATTTATTTTTTTTATTTATTGATTTTTAAACTAAACATTTCTAAAATTTTGCTCTGGGTCCATTAACATGCCTTTCGAATTGGTACGTCGGGATATAAATTTCTGGATTTTTTGTAAACTTTTTCAAAAACTCAATTTTTCAATGAAAATTTCGAAATTTTTTGAAAACCCTAAAAAATTAGTCGTTAATTTTTTTTCTACATTCCAAACCCCAGAAGATACATTTGCCCCCATTTTTTCGAACACTCACAATTTTTCCGGAATCGCTCTATGAAGTTTGAATTTTTTTTTAATTAACTTTCAAACCAAATATTTCAAAAATCTTCATCCGGATGCATAAGCATGTTATATTTTTTGGTTCAGCACGTCAAGATTTATATTCTAGAATTTTTTCTGGATTTTTAGGGAACTTTTTCAAAAACTCAATTGTTCAATGAAAATTATAGAAATTTGGACCACCTTCAAAAATTAATCGTTAAATGATTTTTGTAGATTCCGAGAAGATACTTTGTCCCCATGTCTTCGAACACTCCAGAATCGCCCTGGTATGAAGTTTTATTTTTTTTTTAAATTGACTTTAAAACCAAATATTTCTACAATTTTTAGATTTTTGTGGATTTTTCGGGAACTGTCAAAAAGTCAGTTCTTCGATGAAAATTACAGAAATTTCGGCCGTTTTTCCACCACCCTCAAAAATTAGCCATCAAAGTTTTTTTGAAAATTTCACTTCCAGAAGATCGATTTAGCCCCTTTTCTTCGAAAATTCATACAATTTTTCCAGAATGCTTTAATGAAATTAGTCATTTTTAATTTTTTTTTCAATTTACCCTCAAACCGGATATGTCCAGAATTTTGTTCAAAGTCCCTAAAAACACGTTATAGTTTTCGAATTGGCGTATTGAGATCTACATTTCATAATTTTGTCTGGAATTTAGGGATTTTTTCCAAAAACTCAATTTTTCAGTGAAAATTGTAGAAGTTTCGACCTTTTTCGACCACCTCCAAAAATTAACCATTAAGAATTTTTTGTAGATTTCAACCTCCAGAAGCAACATTTAGCGCCATTTTTTCTAAAACCCATACCATTTTTCCTGAATCACTGAATGAAGTTTGTCACTTTTTTATTTTATTTTATTTATTTTTTTTAATTGACTTTCTAATCAAATATTTCTGAAATCTTGCTCCAGGTCCATAAACATGCTTTATTTTTCAAATTAGTACGTCGGGATAGATATGTATTTTAGAATTTGTTTCTGGCTTTTTAGGAAACTTTTTTAAAAACGCAATTTTTCAATGAAAATTTCGACCTTTTTTTGAAAACCTTCAAAAATTAGTCGTTAAATGTTTTTTGCAGATTCCGAACTCCAGAAGATACATTTGCCCCATTTGTTCGAACACTCACTATTTTTCCAGAATCGCCCTATGAAATTTGACACTTTTTTTTTAGTTAACTTTCAAACCAAATATTGCTAAAATCTTCAGTTTTTTTCTGGATTTTTAGGGAACTCTTTCAAAAGCTCAGTTTTTCGATGAAAATTATAGAAATTTCAACCTTTTTCGACAAAGTAACATTTAACCCCATTTTTTCTAAAACTCATACCATGTTTTCTGAATCGCCCGATGAAATTTGTCATTTATTTAATTTTATTTTTTTTAATTGACTTTCAAACCAAACATTTCTAAAATCTTGCTCTGGGCCCATAAATGCTTTTCATTAATACGTCGACCTTTTTCCAAAATTAACCATAAATAGTGTTTTATAGATTTCGACCTCCAGAAGTTACATTTGGCCCCATTTCATCGAAAAATCAAACCATTTTTCCATTCTTTTTAAATTGACTTTCAAACCAAATATATCTAAAGTTTCGACCGCCAAAAATAGATTCAGTATTAAGTTCCCTGGCGACTCATTTGTCTGCGTCTTCAAGACGAAATGAATCCGTAGAGGAAATGAATGAAAATTCGAAACTCGTTAACAGGATGACAAACATCTGTGAAAATGGCTTCAAAGCTTCAAACAAAAATGAAAGAGATTAGGTCTTTTCAGGCAACCCACAGTCCTCCTTTTGAATCAGAAATTTAATTAACCGAAATTTTAAGTATTCTGTCGTTATAATTAAAACACGACACACATTAAAGCTGCGTTTTGTAAGTTGCCTATACACCACCTGTGTATATATGGTTGCCTACTCGCCAAAATTACAGCCGCCTCTCTTTCGATTCGTCGCCGCCGCCAGATGCCGCCCCACGTTCCAACGCCTCCGCGACCTCACACACCCAGCTACCAGATGTCCCCACCACCACCACAACATAAACAGTCCTATTTTAGACCACATGTTTAGTTCTTGTAATGACACATGGTAATATAAATCGCTATTTCTCATTGTCGGTTAGTCGGATGCTGCCGGCAAAAAGTGAGTGATCTCCGAAGAGAATCAAGTTGCTTGTGATATGTTTATAGCGATCGATGACAGGAAGTAGGGTAAGCAACACTAGAGAAATAAAGCGGTTGCGGAATCGATGAGCTTTTGTTTTTCGGGGATGGAAAACTGGAAAGAGGCGGGGCGTGACAACAGATTTATTAATAATAGTCTGAGTCTGAGACATCCTGTATATTTTAATTGGCCTATTTATTTATTTATTTACTAGTAATCAGAATCGTGTCACTTAAGACAATTAAAATTTATTTTTAGAAGTTTTACTTTTCCGGTTTTTTTTTCTGGAATGTGTGTCCGTTTGTTGGTATTTTAATTGATAAAGCAGCTCATTCTGAATATTATTACCACACAAGTGACTTAATTCTTGGTGCGTACGTGATGAGCGCTTCCTTCTGTTTTGATAGCGATGTTATCAGACTCGTACGTTATTATAATTATTTTTAAGTGGGTAGATTAAGTGGAACAATTTAATAAACTTTGCTTGTTGTTGTTGAAATGTTTATTGGAATCTAATACAACGAACTGAATTTATTTAAATATTTATCATTGTAAGAATATTTTGATTAATAGTCCAGATTTAGTACTTAATTCGTTCTAGAACATTTCTGTCTGTCGCTAGATAATCTCGAAAACTACTGGACTGATCGTTGCGATTTTTTTCAACCCATAACGTATCAGTTATATATTTGGTCAAATTTTACAAAGAGCACTTCTCGATTTCGCACAAACTGTTTGCACAGAACTCTTCTACAGGACCCCCTGATTACGTTCCTTACCTTCAAAAGTTGTGGAAATGCTTCCTTGTGTCAGAAAAAAATATTTAGTGTTCGCCCTATGGTTTGCACCCTATTACTTGCGCCGCATGTAGGCAACCAACAACACAGACAGTTGAACTCGCACGAATTCTAATAACTAAATGATCCACGGAGCAAGAAGTGCCACGTTTAGGGGTATGTTTGTAATGGGGTGCAGGGCGCGAAGCGCCCTGCCTCCACCAAAAACCCGATATTACACCTACCCATGTTGTTGACTATAAAAAGTTAGGTTATGTTCGAAACGACTTCCCATTGAAGAGTGTGCAAATGGGAAATTTAAATTTTTTTTTTGTGGCAAAAGTAAGCATTTCCACAACATTTGAAGGTGAGGAACGTGATCAGGGGGTCATGTAGAAGAGTTCTGTGCAAACAGTTCGTACGAAATCGAGAAGTGCTCTTTGTAAAATTTTACCATATATTTTACCACGACATCAAACTAATTACGTTGAAATGATCACGTCTTATCGCCCTAATAAATCACTATGGTCAAACCCGACACTTAAACTACACTTACACCTGGCCACAATATCAATCATCAGACCCATTTATTTCCATTTTTCCCCAGTAATCCCAAAATGCTCATCCTTGCCACCATCCTATCAACCCTCTCCACAGAGAAATGCCTCCATTCAGTCATCCAAAACGAATACAAATTTGAAAAAAATGTCGTGGTATTGGGAGACAAAGTGGACGTTTTTGTGCCACCAGACATCCCTGTGACCCTTTTGGACCTCGAACACCACGAAAAATCAGACAATTTCGTCGTATTTCTGAACGACTCAAGAAAATTTCAAAATTTTAATAATAAGAAAGCGAGATATGTGGTTGTGGCTAGCAACGTCAAAGAGGTACTAGAGGCGGCTCAAAAGGAACAAATAAGTCGAGTTTTGGTGGTCAAAGACAACAGTGTCTACTACAGGAACAACCCCCATGTTTGTAACGCAACCCCGATTATTCTAAAAGGGCGAAATTGTAACTACCCTTCTTCTGTATTTTCGACACTTAAAATCTTCAGGAACTGCCACTTGAAAGTCGGTTTTGTGACCACGCCACCCTTTGTTGTTGATATTTACCGCCCCGACAACCCCGGGGTACTAGTTTCGTTGGTACGAACCCTCCAAGAGGTGTCCCATCTTCGTATGGTCTATCAAAACTCAAGTCAATTCGACCATGAACTATTAAACAATGGAAGCCTCTATAAACTCGGATGGGCTTTACAAGATGGCCACCTCGATTTAGCTATAGGTCACTTGATGATGAACGAGTCTCAAACCACCCCTTTCGACTTCGGGCCCCTTCTAGTCCAAGACTACATCATCTTCACCCTCCCCAAACCCAAGAAACTCAAAAGCTACAAAAAACTCTTCGTCGTTTTCAAAATGGAGATCTGGGTTCGAATCTTCTTAGGTATTTGGGTCATGGTGGTCATTTTTTACCTGTTCGGGTTGGTGGAGGATTTTCAAAGAACCACGATTTTCGAGACGATGTTTGACGTTTTCCATGTTTGTATAGGGGGAGGGGTTACCCATCTCCCCGACTGGATCTCCTCCAGGATCCTCCTTACTTTCTTCTTCTTGGTTTCGTTGAGTTTGGATTCTATCTATCTGGGGAATTTGAGCCAGATTTTTGGTTTTTCATCTTACGACGCCCCCATTGGAAACGTGTTCCAAATTGCGCTATTCCATCTCAAGTGTGTGGTTAGTTGGAGGATGGAACGGCTTTGTCTTTTGATGTACGTGACCAGACATGGTCGCCTCCAAGGAGAGCTCCTCCACATCAAGAACTTCACGGAATCGTACAACCTCAACAGCACAGCTGTTGGTAAGGAAAACGCCACCGTCATGTTTTCGTCGATTTTGGATGTACACCCTTCAGAATCCGAAAATCTGGCCTTCTTCAAACCCGGTACTGACTACTTGAGTCTCTTTGACACCTTCTACTTCAACAAGGACACGATTTTCAACGAAGCTATAGCTTTCTGGAGCCAGGAAATGGTTGAGAAAGGGTTCATTTTGAAGTGGTTCAACGACATTAGAATCAGTAACGTCAACACGTCGATTCTTCCGGAGGATGAACAGAAGGTTGTTGTTTTGAAGTTGGCGCATTTTGAGGAGAGTTTCAGGGTTTTGATTGGGGGGTACGTGTTGGCGGTGCTGGGGTTGGTTTTGGAGTTTGTTTTCTTGGGGTTGGACAGACTGGGGGTGGTGGGGAGGGTGAAAAAGTGGGTGGTGTTTGCGGTTATGCTTTTGAAGCCGCCGGAGTTGAAAAAGAGGGAGTGATTTTTTTGTTTGCACGTTCAGGTCACTAAAATAATCTGGGTGGTTCTAGCACATCGCACTGTGTACGATGTTGAATAAATATTAATAGCAGCTGAGTTTTAATTTACCACCACCAATGACATGATTTACATTTTATAAAATAACATACTCCTCTACTTGTAGTTTATGAATCCGTGTGGAGTTTTTGCCCCAGATTTTTGTAAAAAATGATTTTAGAACATCCAATCATTTACGTCGAGTGGGAAGCCAGTACGAAGTAAACATGGTGTTTTTTTTTTAAATGTGAAAGAATCTCAGGGGCTACTAGTGTTTTTTTATGTGAAAGAATCTCGGGGGTTCCTTGTGTTTTTTTTTTAATGTGAAAGAATCTGAGAAGCCTTGTGGTTTTTCAAAAATATAAAAGAATCTCGGAGGCTCCGAGTGGTTTTTTGAGGATGTGAAAAAATTTCGGAGGCTCCTTGTGGTTTTTTAAAAATGTGTAGAATCTCGATGGCCCCCTATATTTTTTTACAGATGTTTTAGAATCTCAGGGGCTCCTAGTGTTTTTTTAATGTGAAAGAATTTCGGGGACTGATGGTGGCTTTTTAAGAATGTGATAGAATCTCGGAAGTTCCCAGTGGTTTTTTATGAATGTGAAAGAATTTCGGAGACTCCGGGTGATTTTTTTGAGAATGGGAATAGATTTCGAGGGCTCCTTGTGATTTTTTAAGAATTTCATAGAATCTCAGAAGCTCCTTGTGGTTTTTTAAAGAATGTGAAAGAATCTCGGAGGCCCCAAATGGTATTTTGAAAATGTGAACAAATTTCGGCGGCTTCATGTGGTTTTTTCAGAATTTCATAGAATCTCAGAGGCTCCTTGTGGTTTTTTAAGAATACGATAGAATCTCGGGGGCTCCGTGTGGTTTTTTAAGAATATTTAAGGATCTCGAGGGCTCCTGGTGGTTTTTTTAATAATGAAAAATTATCTCGGGAGCACCCAGTGGTTTTTTATGAATGTGAAAGAATATTGGAGGCCCCTAGCGATTTTTTGAGAATGCGAAAAAATCTAAGAGGCTCCTAGCTAGTGGCCTTTTTTATTGTGAAAGAGTCTCAGAAGCTACCTGTGTTTTTTTTATTAAGAATGTAAAAGAATCTCGGAGCCTCTGTGTGGGGTTTTTTAAGAATTTCATAGAATCTCAGAGGCTGCTTGTGGTTTTATAAGAATGTGAAACAGTCTCAAAGGCTCCTTGTGGTTTTTTCTAAGAATGTGAAAGAATCTCGGAGGCTCCTAGTGCTTTTTTAAGAATGTGAAAGAATCACATAGGCTCCTAGTGTTTTTTTTTATTGTGAAGAATCTCAGAGGCTCCTGGCGGTTTTTTAACAATGTGGAAGAATAACAGGGACTCTGAATGTTTTTTTTTTTTTAATATGAATATGAAGGAATATCGGAGGCTCCTAGTGCTTTTTTAAGGATGTGATAGAATCTCAGAGGCTCCTAGTGGTTTTTTTGAGAATGTGAAAAAATTTCGGAGGCTCCTTGTGTTTTTTTATGAATGTGAAACAATCTCAGATGCTCCTAGTGATATTTTTGAGAACGTGAAAGGACCTCAGAGGCTCCTTATGGTTTTTTTTTAAGAATGTGAAAGAATCTCAGAGGCTCCTAGTGTTTTTATCACGCTTTTATTAGCTTGGGTTGTATGTATGTATGTAACGGAATCTTTGAGCTTAATTTTCATCGGTTTCTAATAGTCTGATCATCTCGAAACTTTGCACACGTCTCAAGGATCGATGACAATGCAATAATTTGATAACAGTTTCCCATTATCCTTATTAGGACCGCCAGGATTTATAAATTCTTTTATGGATGTAACGGAATCTTTGAGCTTAATTTTCATCGGTTTCTAAAAGTCTGATCATCTTGAAACTTTGCACACGTCTCAAGGATCGATGACAATGCAATAATTTGATAAC